TGATCCTGGTTCCTGCACGTTATCGTTACACGTAGGATGAGAACACTCAGCGCAAACGACTCCTAATAATTCTTCTCTGACCCCTTCTATGTCTTCGTCCTCCTGAACTCCAAGTACTAGATCCATAGGGTCCACAAGATCATTTTCCTTTACCTCCCTTGTCCCTTGCAATGCTCGAAGGAGGTGACGCAACTCCGACGTGGTGGCGTCAACTTCGTCGAACTTCGGCAGACCTTGGATAAGGTTGCTCTCTTGTACCATGGTACTTCCTTTCCCGGAATGATAGTCCGCCCGTCTAGATAATCCATCTGGCAGACTTGCCTGGGTTCCTGGCCGATAAACCATTTTAAACCTGAAGTTAGCTAGCTCCTCTACCCACCTACCTTGCCGAGGACTGAGTTGTTTCGGCTCCATCCAGTAGGTAAGGTTTAGATGGTCGGTAAGTACTGTGGTTTCTACCTGCAGTAATAAGTGTCTCCTTCTTCTGAAACCCTCCACTACAGCGAGGAACTCCTTTTCTCCTACCGTATAATTCAGTTGAGCTGTGTTGAAAGCACCAGACTCAATAGCTACCGGGTGTTCTTGACCAGCCGTGTTGATCTGCGAAATTATGAACCCCCAGCCGAAGAACGACGCATCTGTCTGTAATATCGTCTTCAATGTAGGGTCAAAATGGGCTAATACCGGCGCAGTACACATCCTAGCCTTCAACTCTTTGAAGGCTGACTCCTGTTCGACTCCCCATACAAATGGTACCTCCTTCCTTGTCAAGTCATTGATAGGTCTAGCAATCTTCGAGAAGTTGGGGACAAAGCGCCTGTAATAGCTTACAACTCCAATGAATCCCCTTGACTCTCGTAGATTCTTAGGACGTGGGAAGGAAGTGATGGCATCAATGTATTCTGGGTTCACCGATACACCTTTAGAGGATACCACGAAACCCAGAAACACCACCGAATCTCTTTCGAACTCGCACTTACTAGCTTTCACGTACAGGCTCGCCTTCCGCAGTACCTCAAAGACCTTCGCCGTAGTTCCTCGTAATTCCTCCAACGTATTCCCATAAATGAGGATATCGTCAATGTAGACCACGACTCCATTCCCTAGTAGCTCTCTAAACACCTCATTTAGGAAGTGTTGGAAGACCGCGGGGGCGTTTCGCAGCCCATCACGAACAACCAGAGATTCAAACATACCATACTGTGTCCTGAACGCCGTCAGGTGTTCATGTCCCTCTGTCACCCTCAACAATTGGTATGCTCCAATTAGATCTAGTTTGCTGAAATACCTTGCTTTTCCAAGTTCTTCGGTAATTTGACCTATTAGAGGGAGAGGGTAGGCATCTGGTATGGTCGCTTCGTTCAGTTTTCGATAGTCGATGACCATTCGCCATTGTCCTTCGGCTTTCTTCGGTATCATAAACATTGGTGAGCCGTATGGCGAGTTACTTGCCCGAATTCGGCCAGCGGCGATTTCGCGATCTAGTATGTCTCTCAGCGCGCGTCTCTGATCTTCTCCTTGAGCATAGAGGGAGGCGACCTTAAGGTTCGCCCCCTCCTTAAGCTCAAACTTCAAATCGTAGGACCTTGAAGGGGGAAGGGTCTCTCCTCCCTTCTTCGGATTAAAAACGTCAATGTACTGGTGGTATTGTTCAGGAACTACCTGGAACAACTCGTCTTGTTCCTCCGGGCTCAGCTCTTCAAGCTCATCTTCGCCGCGGAGGTCTATCGCGTCCGTCAGAGTCGGCAGCCCTATGGCCGCTAACTTCGCCGCACTTGGTGGGGTTGGGATGGGAAATTTCACCGAATTGTCTCTTCCATCAAGGACAACCCCTTCCTTCCTCATCCAATCCCACCCTATCACAACATCTGCGTCGCAGAGCGTTGTTACATCGAGACAAACAGATCGCACTTCGGCGTCCTTCGTCAAACTAAATCCGACTTCGACAAACTCGGTGATGGGTCCAGCGACACTCACCGAGCCGTCGAACATGTGAACGGGTACGCTCACCTGATATCGCCTCTTTTCTACACCTATCTTCGCTGCTGCCTTAGGGCTTATATATGAACAAGTAGCTCCAGTGTCCCAGAGCGTAGTTAGCTTTATTCCATTAATGAAAATGTCCGATTTAGGTTGATCTCTGGAAACGGAAGGGATGAGGAGATGATTATCGACATTGCATGAACAAGGGGTACTGAGTGGTGTATTTTTGTATTCACAATCCTCTGGCTCCATCAGCTGTGTTTCTTTTATGGGTTTGGGAATGGTGGCCGAGAGAATATGGCGGACCCGCCGAGCCTCGCCTACTGCGACAGGTCCTCTTCTTTTCCCTGGTCCTCTTCCAAATCTACTTCTCCTCCAACCGCATTCAAGTTCCTCCTCTGTCCGAGAGGTACTGCGTTCCCTCCCGATCCTCCACCACGTTCTCCGAACTTCTCCCCCCATGGAGGCAACAGTCCAACCTTAACCTTAGCCTCCCTTACAGGGCATTCCTTCAGCCAATGTCCCGCTTCACCACACTCGGTACACTTCCCCTCCTTCCTCCTTGTCTCCCTCAGATCGGAGCTCGGCCTAGGCCATCTTCGGCGCACTTCGTCGATGTTTGACGGTGTACTCTTTACCACCGTCGACATCATAGCCGCCTGGACACCACCCTGCGCCGAAGGTTGCCCCTTTTCCCATTTCTTCTCTTCTTTCTTCTCCGTCCTCTGACTTTCCACCACTGTCGTTGTCCTTATCCCTCCTTCCCTTTTCCTCTCTGCCTCCTTCTCCACTTGTCTCCTCCACAGGCGGTTGTCCAAGGGAATCACAAACTCCAATAGCTCTTTCACAGTCCCAAACGATCTACCGTGTCTTGCAATTTCATCTAGAAGGTGCGATTTTAGTCCTTTCTTGGCTCGGTCAACTAGGTTTCCATCATCAGACCACTTAAGAATCGCAACATGTCGCTGGAAGGCGGAGAAGTAGTCCGAAGCAGACCCGGTTTGCTTGAGGTCGTTAAGTTGTCGGGCCGCAGTTCCTTCTTCGTCTGGATCACCAAAGTTAGTCTTGAGGTACTTAACGAACTGATCGTGTGTCGTGAGGTACTCAGGAAGAGGTCTTTTGGATAGATCGGGCTGCACTGCAAGAAGAGGTGTTTCGCGTAGATGAGAGATCATGAAAAAGACTTTCTTAGTGTCGTCGGGGAAAAGATGAGAGTTCAATTCGAAATGTACGTCGCACTCAGACAGAAAGGCGGTTAACTTGTTCCGATCTCCTCTCCAGAGGTCTGGGTTAGGTAGCTTTATCCCCTTCCGTTGTTCGCCCACTACGCTTGGGGTCGCCGAAGTTTGCCGTCCCATGGCGTACCTCACTCCTTCTGATATCCCTTCTGCAATCCCGCCCACTGTATCCCTTTCTCTTCTCTGTTCCCATTCCTCCCTACGCCTTCTCTCCTCCATCATGTCTTTGTTCATATTCGCCACCATCTGCATCAAGGCCAACACCACCCCTTGTGTTCCTTCTTCTCCCAAGTTCGCCGTACTTCCCGTGTTTTCTCTTGGGCGTGGGGTTTGGTCTGATCCAAGTGGGGATCCCGCAGGTGGGAGAGCATTAGACGGAGGAGAAGGAGGGTTAGAAGGCACCGGTGGAACGAACTCATCTCCTTGAATTGATCCCCCCACACTATCCTCCACTCCAAGGTCCTGCCCCATTGCTCTGCTAAGCTCCTCCAATGCTCTCCTCTCGTTCTCCTCCATCCTGTCTCCATCCCTACTCATCCCTCGTGTAATTCTTCTTTCTGGTTCCATATTATCTTTGTACTTCTCCGAGGTTCGCACGGGTCGTCGGTAACAGCGATCCTTGATACTGTCACGGCCGTCGAACAACTATTTCTTAATAGACCGACGGTCGACGAACCTCGGCTAACTTCACGCTCTGAGTCGATGTCTCACCCAACCAGGAGGGCGCAGACGTCGAAAGGGGTGTAACTACGGCGTACTTCGGCGTAGTTACTCTAACTAGGGTTTTGTTCTACTGATGGCGATGTATCTTGATTTATAGCTATCTCTATCTGTCTTTCACTACTGACAACAATCAAGGATCGCTGAAGAACTTCAGCGATCTTCTCAGCTAATATTATCTACTCCTCCTAGACGTTCATCCAACCCTCTCGCGCTTTGACGTACTTCAACGCACTTCGTCCAACTTCCCCGAGCCCTCGGCCATCCTCTTCCTCCTTCGACTAACTCCGCCTAACATCGCCGCACTTCTGCTCCCATTGTCCCTACTTAGCCTAACTCCGCCTAACATCGCCGCACTTCTGCTCCCATTGTCCCTAATTAGCCTAACCCCGCCTAACATCGCCGCACTTCTGCTCCCATTGTCCCTACTTAGCCTAACCCCGTCTAACTTCGCCGTACTTCTGCTCCCATTGTCCCTACTTAGCCTAACTCCGTCTAACTTCGCCGTACTTGGTGTCAGAAGTCCTGAGTTACGTGTAGAGTAAAGAGGTTAAGGCGTGATGGGGTTTTGATGGCCAAAGGAGGGTCATTGTTGGTGGAGTAATCGAGGTGTCACGACGTAGTTCGTGACAGTCCTTATGCTCTCTGCGCCGCACTTCGTAGTCGGGCCTCCTTTCACTTCAAAACCCGACAATGAGACTTCCCTAACTTCGTCGAGGTTTGCCGTAAGAAGCCCTGTGTATTTTGTAGGTGAGACACGTTTCCCGAATGGTAGCCGAACAACATCGTTGTTTGTCGAAGTAACCCTCGTTTATATTGGGATAAGACGCTATAGCGTGGGAATTTTGATCGTCCCTGGCTTGCCTTTTGTTGATGAAACGCGAAGTTTACCGCATGTTGACGACGAGGGGAGGTAGGTCTGGTTATACTAAATACTGAGCAGTTCGTCGAGCTTCTCTCTTTTCCCCATCTGCTTTCAAAACTTTCTATCTTCCTTACCTAGAAAACAGATTTAACCACCGTTTCGAGTTTTATTTTTCTTTTAAGTATCTTAACGTCATGGCCCCCTCTACTCCCACTACCAACCCTTTCGCCGCCATAAGGAACTTTGGTGGTATGATGTCGTCTGCTCGTGGGTTTTCATCGTTATTCCCCTTACCTCGCCGAACTTGGCTGATGTTCAGTTTCCTTCGGCGATAGGTCTCGCCAAGTCTCCTCCCTTGGGCTCGGCACTCTCTCTTTGGGGGAACCGTCCGGCGCTGCCTCGCCTCCTCGCTCCGCTTCTCCTCCCGCTGCTTCTCCGCCCGCTTCTCCCCGCGCTGCTTCTCCCCACGCTGCTTCTCCGTCCGCTTCTCCTCGCGCTGGTTCTCTCTCTCCGGAGTCAGAGTCTTCCGTCGTTGAAACTGGTCCTCCCGGTGGGTATCCTCCTGCCACCTCCCCGCGCCGCAGGACGCCCGCCTTTCGTCGCGGTGAGTCTCCCTCCTCCTCCGACCTGGACGTTAGTGGAAGCTCGGAGTCGGGTGATCGACCCGACGTCGAAGAAAGTGAGGATGACGAAGAGGATGAGGATGACGAAGAAGACGAGGATGAGGATGATTTGGAGGGTAGTGTTGATCGTGAAGGTGAAACCGAGTTAGAAGAATACTCGGAAGATGATATGGAGGCGGGTAGAGTAGAGGACAACGACGTAGGTAGTCCTGAGCGTGAGTCCTTCGTCCATCTTCTCACACCTTCGCCGAACTTGGCGTTGTTTATCTGTTCTTTAGCTCTGTAAGACACTGCTAACTCGCAGCCACTCCTGTCCCCCCCCCTGCCCAACTCACGGGCCAGAAACGACGCCGTTCCCTCTCCTCTTCTTCTTCTTCCTCCTCCTCCTCTTCCGAAGATCTCCCCCCCCCCCGACGCCATTGCCGCTGCCGCCGCCGCCGCTGCTGCTGACGCTCGCCGTGCAGCCACCCTTGCCGCCGCTGCTGCTGCTGCCCGCCGTGCCGCCACCGTCTCCCGCCCTGCCGCCACCGTCTCCCGCCCTGCCGCCGCCGACACTCGCCCTGTCGCCGCCGACCCCGCCGCTGCTACCCTTCCTTCTCCCAGAGGGGAGCCTTCGCCCAAACGGGTGAAGAGATCATTGCGGGAAGAAGAGTACTTGTGGGACAAGTTGAAGTCCGAGCCTGGGCGTTGGGTCGCGGTGGGTGTTGATGAAGCGTGTGATCGTTGTCGGTGAGTCCACCTATCGGTACTACGCCGAAGTTACTCCTGCTAATTAGTAGACGTGAGATGATCACGTATAATCGTCCAAACTGGCCCTGCCTCAAGGCAGTCAGGCCTCACAACAAAGCCCTCCGCTGTGCTTCATGCACATCTGGTCCCTGCTCCTTCTGTCCCGTCTCGTCTGCTCGGGACATCCCACCCCGTCTCTCCGACGCCTCTCCTTTCCCCCCTCCCCAGACTCCAGCGTCTGTTCCCCGTTCGCGGGTGCCATCTTCGTCTCTTCGGTCGGTTCGCCGAACTTCGCCGTCCTCCCGCTCGTCGCCTCCCTCGCCGTTGCCCTTCGTCCCTGTGGCCGGCCCATCACGTCTCCCGGCTGCTCCTCCATCGGCCTCTCGTCGCCCTTCGGCCCCCCGTCCCACGGCCTCTCGTCCGTCCTCTCCTGTGGTGCCTTCTCCTCCGGCCCACGGCACCCGAAGTCGTCGTCCTTCTGCTGCTCCTGCCACCCCAGCAGCAGCTCCTGTTACTCCTCCCTCTTTTCCCCAGAAGACTCCAAAGTCTTCTTTAAAGAAATCTAAAGGGAAAGGTAAAGAGAAAGAGGTTGTCTTTAATGATGATGACATGGAAGGTGAAGATACTCAGCGTGCTGGTCCCTCTGCCCCCCGAACGTCCTTCGTCCACCCTCGTATTTCTCTGGACGTTCGTATCCCCGAGGACGAAAAGGAATTCGCCACTTATCGTTCCCTCGTCCTTGGTCTCACCACTCAGCTCGAGGCCGCTCGCCACGATACATCTCTCTTGCTTGACTTCTCTTCTCGTCAAGCTAACGCTTTAAACAATCTTACTGCGGCGTTAGTAGATGTAGTCAACACTGGGGCTCTGGATGAGGAAGCAAGGACGAGGTTAGCGGACGTCTCTCGCCGTAGCCTTACTGAGATAGCCGATGTTCGCCGAAGGCTTTACGACACCCCCTTCCTCGTCACTCCCATGGCGTATGAGCCACCGCCGGCCATCGACTGGTTAGGTCGCCGCAGTAGTTCTCGTGTCCCCGCCGCCGCCCAGACTGCTCTCGACCTCCTCAGTCTTCCCTTTGAGTGTCTTCGGACCATACGTTCTCTGTGGCGGACTCCGAGCATGCAAGCTGCTCGCGATTTCCAGGACTTCGGTGATTTCTTTGGGGCTATGAACAGAGCCTGGAATGCTTCTCTCTCTTCTGCCTTCCCCCCTGACACTCTCAATCTACCTTCAGCCATCGGTAGTCTCCACACCAACCCCGCCGGACCGAGTAGAGCGAGGAGAAAGGAAAAGGAAAGGGTAAGGGTAAGGACAAGTGAGCGGTACGTAGCTGTAATCCTATGTTGTATGCAGTACGGTTCTACCTCCTAGCCCTTCGCACTCGCCCTTCCTTCGGTTTAGTAGGATGATGTTCGTGGAACTTCGCCAGTATGTCGTCAGCTCCATCAACGTTCTCCACTGGTTCCCACGATACTGAGTCGTCAGTTCCTTCGTAACCTAACCATTCCACCAGGTACTCCAGCTTCCCTGATCTTTTATTTATCCTAGAGTCCACAATATCCTTTACTTCCCACGATTCTCCTACGTTATCTACCTCTACTGGGCCAGGTGGTTCAGCTTGCTGACCAGGGAATATTGGAGGATGATAGGGGCGAAGCAATGAAACATGGAATACATCATGGATACCCGCCATCGTTCCTGGTAACTCCAATTTACAAGCATGAGAACCTACCTGCCGTACCACCTTGTACGGCCCACTTTGCTTCACATCCAATTTCTTCATAGGTCTCTTAGTCTTAATATTTTCTAAGGACAGCATAACTAGGTCACCTTCCACAAAGTTCGGCGTAGTTCGATGTTTCCTATTGTATCCTTCGGCGTACTTCTCGTTAGCTCTCTCGATCCCCTCGATACATTCCTTATGTATTTCGGTTAGGTCTTTTACCACTACTGTAGCAGCAGGTACCTCGACTTCGCTGGCCTTAATCTCTTCAGCCCACCGAGGGTGGTACCCATAGTTCGCATAGAATGGGGTCTTGTTTATTGCAGAATGATGGGTGTTGTTATAGGCAAAGCTGGCTCGAGCGAGTAGCTTCGACCAGTCGTTCTGTTGATAGGACGTGAAAATCCTAAGGTATAGCTCGAGAGATTGGTTGGTTCGTTCGGTCTGTCCATCAGTCTGTGGATGATACGCCGTAGAGAGATGTAGTCTTATCCCGAGACTATCGGTCAGGTTCTTCCAAAACTTCGAGGTAAATTTCGAGCCCCTGTCTGATACTATACTCTCCGGTAACCCATGCTGGGACACCACGTAGTCCATTATCAGCTCCGATAGCCCAGCTGCGGTCAACTTCGTCGTGGTTGGGATAAAAACGGCCCATTTTGTCAGGCGATCCACGACCACTAAGATGGAGTTATATCCATGGGAACTTGGGAGTTCTTCGATAAAATCCATCGAGATACTTGACCAAGGTTTCGTAGCCACTTGCAGGGGTTTAAGTTCTCCATGAGGCTTCTGTCTGTTAGTCTTCGCTCTTTGACATACCGCACAACCAGCGACATAGTCTTCTACATCCTTCCTTACTCCAACCCAAACATAATCTCTCAGGACTAGTTCAAGGGTCTTTGCCGAACCCGGGTGACCAGCTAAGGCCGAGTCATGTCGCATCTTCATAATCTTTAGTCGAGCGTCGGCGTAGTTCGGCACATAAAAGTCCGATCGTCGAAAGCAAGGAAACCCCTTGGAGTCCACCCCCCACGAAGTATTAGAGGGGACCGCGAACTTCGGCGTAGTTCGGTGATGGATCCTGGTTCCTGTACGTCATCGTGACACGTTGGATGAGAACACTCAGCGCAAATGACTCCTAATAGCTCCTTCCTAACCTCCTCCACTTCTTCATCTTCCTGTATACCAACAATCAGATCCATGGGATCAATAAGGTCACTCTCTCTTACTTCCTTTGTCCCTTGCAAAGCACGAAGTAGGTGTTGTAACCCAGAGCTAGTGCCGTCGAGTTCGTCGAACTTCGGCAACCCTTGGATCAGGTTACTCTCTTGCACCATCGTACTCCCCTTTCCAGAGTGGTAGTCTGCTCTTCTCGATAGTCCATCCGGAAGTGTAGCTTGTTTCCCAGGTCGATACACCATCTTAAACCTAAAGTTAGAGAGCTCTTCGACCCACCTGCCCTGTCTCGGGCTTAACTGTTTCGGTTCCATCCAGTATGTCAGGTTCAAGTGGTCCGTGAGTACTGTAGTCTCTACCTGTAATAGTAAGTGTCTCCTTCTTCTAAAAGCTTCAACAATAGCTAGCAGTTCCTTCTCGCCTACCGTATAGTTTAACTGCGCCGCTTGGAACGCTCCTGACTCGATAGCTACCGGATGTTCTTGCCCTAACTCGTTCACCTGCGATATTATGAAGCCCCACCCGAAGAACGAGGCATCTGTCTGTAGTAATGTCTTCAACGAAGGATCAAAGTGAGCTAATACCGGGGCCCTACACATCCTATCCTTCAGTTCTTTAAAAGCTCTTTCCTGCTCCATACCCCAAACAAAGGGTACATCCTTCCTTGTGAGATCATTGATCGGTTTAGCAATCCTGGAGAAGTTGGGAACGAAGCGCCGATAATAACTAACGACTCCCATAAACCCTCTGCTCTCTCTTAGGTTCTTGGGACGGGGAAAAGACACAACAGCGTCGATGTACTCTGGGTTACTAGACACCCCCTCCCGTGAGACCACAAAACCCAAGAAGACTACCGAATCTTTTTCAAACTCGCACTTACTAGCCTTAACGAACAGATTCGACCTCCAAGAACTTCGAACACCTTCGCCGTAGTTCCTCTCAATTCTTCCAACGTTTGACCATAGATGAGTATATCATCTATGTAGACAACCACTCCTTTCCCTAACAGTTCTCTAAAACTTTCATTCAGAAAATGCTGGAATACAGCAGGAGCGTTTCGCAGGCCATCTCGAACGACAAGAGACTCGAACATACCGTACTGGGTCCTGAACGCCGTCAAGTGCTCGTGCCCTTCCTTTACTCGTAGGAGTTGATAAGCTCCAATCAGATCTAACTTACTGAAATACCTCGCCTTTCTCAGTTCTTCGGTTATCTGACCGATCAGGGGCAGTGGATAGGCATCGGGTATCGTTGCTTCGTTTAACTTTCGATAGTCAATGACCATTCGCCATTGACCCTTTGCTTTCTTCGGTACCAGGAACATCGGTGATCCGTAGGGCGAATTACTGGGTCGAATTCTTCCGGCCGATATTTCGCGATCTAGGATGTCTCTCAGCGCACTTCTCTGATCTTCTCCGAGTGAGTAGAGTGGAGCAACCTTCAGGTTCGCCCCCTCCTTAAGCTCAAACTCCAGATCATACTCCCTTGAGGGAGGTAATTCTTCACCTCCCTTCCTCGGGTTAAACACATCGATGAACGGGTGGTATTGTTCAGGAACCACCTGATACAATTCCTCCTGTTCCTCCGGACTCAGTTCATCTTGGTCATCTTTGTCTCGGAGATCTATCGCGTCCGTCGGAGTTGGCAGCCCTATGGCTGCTAACTTCGCCACACTTGGTGGGGTTGGGATGGGGAATTTCACCGAGTTGTCTCTTCCATCAAGAACAACCCCTTCCTTCCTCATCCAGTTCCACCCTATCACAACATCCGCATCGCAGAGCGTTGTTACATCTAGACGAACGGATCGCACTTCGGCGTCCTTCGTCAAACTAAAACCAACTTCGACAAACTCGGTGATAGGTCCAGCGACACTAACCGAGCCATCAAACATGTGAACGGGTACGCTCACCTGGTATCGTCTCCTTCCTACACCTATCTTTGCCGCTGCCCTAGGGCTTATATATGAACAAGTAGCCCCAGTGTCCCAGAGCGTAGTTAGCTTGATTCCATTAATAAAAATGTCCGATTTAGGTTGATCTCTAGAAGTGGAAGAGAGGAGTAGATGATTATCGACATTGCATGAACAAGGGGTACTGAGTGGTGTATTTTTGTATGCACAATCCTCTGACTCCATCAGCTGTGTCTCTTTTATAGGTTTGGGAATAGTGGCCGAGAGAATATGGCGGACCCGCCGAGCCTCGCCTACTGCGACAGGTCCTCCTCTTTTCCCTGGTCCTCTTCTATCTCCCCATCTCCCCCAACTGCGTTCAAGTTCCTCCTCTGACCCAGAGGTACTGCGTTACCCCCCGATCCCCCGCCACGTTCGCCGAACTTTTCCCCCCACGGAGGCAACCATCCGACCTTTACCTTCGCTGCCCTCACCGGGCAATCCCTCAACCAATGTCCCCTCTCCCCGCACTCAGTACACTTCCCTTCCTTCTTCCTTGCCTCCCACAGTTCGGGAGGTGGCCTAGGCCATTGTCGGCGAAGTTCGTCGGCATTCGACGGAATGGTCTTGGCCTGCGTCGACGTAATATTCGCTTGCACTGCAGACTGCGCCGAAGTTTGCCTCCCCTCCCCTCTTTTCTCCTCTCTCCTCTCCACTCTCTGACTATCCACCACTAACACTTCCTTCACCCCCGTCTCCCTCTTCTTCTCCGCGTCCTTCTCCACCTTCCTTCTCCATAACCTGTTGTCCATGGGAATAACGAACTCCAATAACTCCTTGACGGTCCCAAAAGATTTACCGTGTCTAGCAATTTCATCTAGGAGGTGTGGTTTCAGCCCTTTCTTGGCTCGGTCAACCAGGTTTCCGTCATCAGACCACTTGAGTATCGCCACATGTCGTTGAAAGGCGGAGAAGTACTCCGAAGCTGACCCAGTCTGCTTTAGATCGTTAAGCAGTCGAGCTGCGGTTCCTTCTTCATCCGGATCACCAAAGTTTGTCTTGAGATATTTAACGAATTGATCATACTCCATAAGGTAGTCAGGAAGAGGTCGTTTAGCAAGATCGGGTTGGACGGCAAGAAGAGGTGTTTCGCGTAAATGAGAGATCATGAAGAAGACTTTCTTGGTGTCGTTGGGGAAAAGATGAGAGTTCAGTTCGTAATGGATCTCACACTCCGACAGAAATGCGGTCAACTTGTTCCTCTCCCCTCTCCAGAAGTCCGGGTTAGGCAGTTTTATTCCCTTCCGTTGTTCCCCAACCACTCTCGGGGTCGCCGAAGTTTGCCGTCCCATGGCGTACCTCACCCCTTCTGATATCCCTTCTGCAATACCGCCTACCGTCTCCCTTTCTCTTCTCTGCTCCCACTCTTCCCTACGCCTTCTCTCTTCCATCATGTCTTTGTTCATATTCGCCACCATCTGCATCAAGGCCAATATCACCCCTTGTGTACCTCCTTCTCCCAAGTTCGCCGTACTTCCAGTGTTTTCTGGTCGCGGGGTTTGATCCGATTCAACTGGGGATCCTATGGGTGGGAGAGCATTACCCGAAGGGGTAGGAGGATTAGGAGGAAATGGTGGAACGAACTCATCTCCTTGAATTGATCCCCCCACACTATCCTCCGCTCCAAGCTGCTGCCCCATTGCTCTGCTAAGCTCCTCCAGTGCCCTCCTCTCGTTCTCCTCCATCCTATCCCCGTCCCTACTCATACCTCGCGTAACTCTCCTATCTGGTTCCATAGAATCTTTGTACTTCTCCGAGGTTCGCACGGGTCGTCGGTAAGAGCGATCCTTGATACTGTCACGCCCGTCAAGCAAATACTTCCTAATAGACCGACGGTCGACGAACCTCGGCTAACTTGATCCTTCTTGATCGATGTCTCACCCAACCGGGAGGGTGCAGACGTCGAAAGGGGTGTAACTACGGCGTACTTCGCCGTGGTTGCTCTAACTGGGGTTTTGTTCTACTGATCGCAATGTATCTCGATTTGTAAATAGCTATCTCTATCTATCTTTCACTACTGACAACAATCAAGGATCGCTGAAGAACTTCAGCGATCTCCTCAGCTAATATTGTTTATTCCTCCTAGACGTTCATCCAACCCTCTTGCGCTTTGACGCACTTCGACGCACTTCCTCCAACTTCCCCGAGCCCCCGGCTATCCTCTTCCTCCTCCGACTAACTCCGCCTAACGTCGCCGTAATTCTGCTCCCATTGTCCCTACCTAGCCTAACTCCGTCTAACTTTGCCGTACTTCTGCTCCCATTGTCCCTACCTAGCCTAACTCCGTCTAACTTCGCCGTACTTGGTCTCAGATGTCCTGAGTTACGTGTAGAGTAAAGAAGTTAAAGCGTGATGGGGGTTTTGATGGTCAAAGGAGGGTCGTTGTTGGTGGAATAATGGAGTGTCACGACGTAGTTCGTGACAACAACCAGAGATCGTCAAAGATCCCTGGGAACTTTGGTCCTTAAGTACTTCGTTCTTCCCTAACTTCGCCAATGCAGAACTTTGTTCAACTCGAGTCCCCGAGCTTTGTACCTTGTGAACTTCGCCCCCGACAAAGTTCATCCCTAACCTCGTATCTCCCTAACTTTGTATCCCACGAACTTCGTATCTCACTAACTTCGTACCTCACTAACCTCCTACATGACTAACTTCGTCCTCGATGAAGTTAGCCTACTAATACCCTCGTGGGTGGTGAAGTTCATAAGAACTGGATTGTTGATGGTAAGTTGATGTCCAAAGGAACTTCGTTTGATGGGAAAGGATGATGTCACGCGGCGCGACAGGGTCATAACACATTGAGAGAGCAGCAGAGATGACAGATGACGGAGTGATGATGTCAAGAGGGACTGTGATAGCAAGGACTAGCGGTATTGAGCTTGGACTGACTGTGTTTGACAAATAAGATTCATACAGTTGGGTGTAAAAAGTCATGTCCGCGCGTTTCATAGTAATTTGGCTGGGAAACTCTCTTCTTAAAATTGTGGAGTCTCTATCTTTGACACAACTTGATGCATGACAATGAAAGTCCACTATGTTGTTGATACAATTCTCCTCTATTCAGATAGATAATTAGTTTTGCATCTTCAGTATGAAGATCTGTCGTAAACCTACTTGAAAGATGATGCATTTTGGTCAAAAAGCGACTTTTTGGGCAGTCTTTGGCCAAAGTGCCTCCTCTTCCGGTCATCGCCATGCATTGTTGTCCAGCATATGTACCAGCAAAGAATGCCTCGGATTGTTTATCTTGGATAGATGTACAAAATTCATTATGACGTAAGCCGTGCATATTGTCAGCTGAAGGAGATATCACACAACAAAGTGGGACGTCATGATTTCCCAGCCAAATTACTATGAGACACGCGGACATGACTTTTTACACCCGACTGTATAACTGACAAAACTACTGAAAAGTACAACTTCATATAGACCAAAGCTAGTTACCGTCTGCAAATACGGTTTGTCACCTTTGACCACCTGTAGTATCACAAAGGGTGTGACAAGTCAAGCAAAAGTTGGGGAAGGGTATTCAACCAGCAATCAGCGGTAGTGTTAACCACCAATTAACAGGCCTTTTTGTCACAGTGGTTTAGATGTCCTGAACACTGTCACATTGGGCACTGTTATATCAAGCCAATGCTGGTTAGTTGGTCCTCGTGACATGTAGCTACCATATGTAACTATTGTCTGTAAAAACTGTCTGTAATTACCATCTGTAACTACCATTTGCAACCACAGTTGGCACCTACAGTCTGCACTGACCTTTTGATCCTAATCAATTTTGAGTCACTATGCCTTTGTGTCACAAACGTCGTTTCTTCTTCTCTACTGACCGACGGTCGACAAACCTCGGCTAACTACGTCGTAGTGGGGCGTCGTTGTCTCACTAAGACAGGGTACTCGTCGAGGAACTACGGCTAACTTCGCCGTAGTGATTCGTCGAGTGGTAAACTGATAAGATGATCGTCGATGAACTGCGGCTAACTTCGCCGTAGTACGTTGAACTGCTCGGTGGTAGCTCTCCTTAACTCGAAGGTTGTAGCTACTGAATATATCTCTCGCTACTGACAACAATCAAGGATCGCTGAAGAAGTTCAGCGATCTGTAAACTATCTATACTACTCCTCTCCTCTCATAGAACGTCTCTCAACTCCTGCACTGCCTCACGCTCAGTCCCCTTCGTTCAACTTCGCCGTACCTCACCGTTCCTCGCCATATCCCCGATATCCTACTGTTCACTTCGACTAACTTCGCCTAACTTCCCTTGTCCTGCCCTCCCTCGGCTGCCTTCCACTAACTTCGCCGTAGTTCTCCGCTAGGCGGGGTTATCGTGACAAATCCCCCCTTTGGTTCTCGTAACTTCGTCGTAGTTGGTCTCAGGGGTTCGAGTGGAGGTTGGTGATGGTGAAAGGAGGGTCGGTGATGGTGGTTGTCAGGGATGTTACGATGTAGTTCGTGACACTTTGATCCCATACTTGTTCTAAGTTCTGATGTTCATTCACAACAAGTGGGAGCTGTTTTTGTCATACTGTAAGCACATTCCTGGATCTAACAGACACACTCTCTGTCTCACTCTCATGCATATGGATTCCTTAACTTCTAGCACCTCATCTTGCTACAAGTCTCACTCAGTCTTCACCATGAGCCCCTGGTCTGATTGACTGTAAGAACTCAGGGTCCCAACCGCTCAATCATCCCAGGAGAAAAAAGGGTTTGTGTCCTCTGTGGGTTCCTCACCAACTGCTTTCAATGCATCAGCTTCAGTCAGTGTAAACTGGTCTGTTATCTCTCCAGTCTCAGTTGCTGGACCACGTGTTTGCCCCCCATCAGGTACTGCGTAATCCACTGTATCATCCTCTCGGATCCGCCGGGTGTGGGCGTTCATGTCATCAGTCACCAGTATCTTTGTTTTCTTGAAGTGTATGCTAGTGAGCCTCACACCTTTTGCCTTTTGAGAACTCTCAATATGTGTTCGAGTCCCAGTCCCGATCTGATAGTAGTCCCCTGGTCGGTCCTCATGCACAAGCAATGTCGGAAACCCAGTGCCTCTCTCCCTAGTGTATTCCACCTCAAGTTCTTGAGCACCCCTGAAAGAAATGCTTGCCTTCGAATTGTCCTTGGTCAGCACACATATCATCCCCCCCCACCCTGTTTCTCCTGCGTGGGCAGTGAGCTTACATGAACCGTCATCGGCCAAGTAATACTTCATGATGTATCGCTCCCAATTGTTGTACTTGCCCTTTGTTGTGGCCAGGTAGCCTTGGAAATTTTTGACTTCAATGTCATCTGAATTAACACGTCGAACTTTGTCAAAGCCGCCTGTAGATTGATTGTTTTCGACATCTTTTTTGGCTTGATCAAGAGTATACGTGCTGAACCGCTCAAATGCCTCTGCCATAACCGGAGCTCTTTGATCACTCGCCCACAATTTCATGTCCGAAAGCTTGCCTCGAGGCTTGTCGAGAAGTTCACTAGTTTTCTGCCAGAGGATTCTATCTGGGTTGGGCCAGGCAGATTCCCGGGCGAACGCATCAACAACCCAATCAGTGTCGTGAAGACCGTGTTGACGTTCTGTTCCATCTTCTTCAAACGTCTCGTGTAGCACTTCCTTGGCTCTGGTCTTGATATTTGAGAGAGCCGTTCGCAAACCATCTGTTAGGTCTTCCGCGGTTTTAATCATGGTGACCAGCGTGATCGTTTGGTTAGATGAAGTAAAGAGAGTCGGTCTCGTGTGCGTACGGGATTATTGGCTAGTGGAGTAGGTATGTTTTCTGTTCTGTCTGTTATGTCTAGTCAGTTGGGGTGGGTGTTTATGGTGCTGAGCAAGGTTTACTGCCTTTTAAGCTAAAATCTGTCGTCTCGGCGGGAGCATCGCCTCGATAATGAAGGGAGGACGTGAAGATCTGACTTTCAAATGCGCTTCTCTGGTCCTGCACCTATCATCGCGTACGGTCAAAGACGAAGCGAGAGCGATAGAGTGAAAGGACGGGCCCGAATCGTACGACAGACCGGCCATGATCGAATAATCGAACGATCTTCCTATGTTGCGTTTTGAAAGCGGTGTAGCACAGCATCGAAAGACGGATCATGACAGGATGACGCGGTCGAGATGTTTACATTCGTCGTATTCGAGCTGTGCGGGGAGCTTCGATTATGGGGGAGAAGTCAAAGGAGACGTGGGGATTGAACCCTCGTCGAGGGAGTTTGTTCTTGCTCTCTGTAGGCCGTACGAGTCTGAGTCATGAAGACCATTGGAGACGGTGACCGGGGAAGGGTTTTGATCAAGTTTCTAGCATCAGTTTGTATGTAAGTCGTTGGGTCGAAGGCAGAGTAGCGTGGGAAGGAAGACGGTGTGTTAGGCTGTTGGCCGACTTCATCGGACGAACGTGTTCTTCTGAGAATGTCAGTTGGCGTAAGTCGTGAGAATAACGCCTTGTGAGAACGCGAAGGTCGAATAAGCATAAAGTCGACGGTGTGAATGATTGGAGATGACCAACATATGCAAGATGGAACGAACGATGACCATGAATGTGAAGATGGAGATAGAGGAATGGATCGTTTTGTTTTCTTGTTTTCTTTCGTATTTATCCGACACGTTGTCCCCGACCGAGTCCAAATTCTAAAGTAGAAACACCTCTCCTCAACCGTCCAACGATATCAAAATGAGTGTTAAAGGGTACGAACGTGACATCCCAGGTACTGTAAACGCTACCCTTGAAACTTTACTTACTGACGTTCAGATGTTCCAGAGGCTTTACTCCAAGAGCTTGAGAACGGTTCGTCTCCCTCCTTCCCTTCACGTTGTCTGGGACTGATGAAAAGAAACTGCCAACAAACGGTATCGTATGCTCCAGTATATGGCTAAGACAACTCTGGAGCATTTGGAAGTAGTGCGACCTAAAGTCAAGGATATCGCTGGTTTCTGGCTTTACACCTTGGTACGTGCCCTTTGATCCTTCACCCTCCTCATCCTTCTCAACCACATGCAGTTGCTCCATCGATACCGTCGACTTTCGGGAAATCAAATGTCTGAGGTCATAATGGCGGAAATCTGATGACAGTCAAACCATGTCGCTCTCGAACCCCTTTTTGCGCTTAAAGAAGACCAAGAAGCTATGAACTATTGCACGGACGTAGAATTGGTCATCGACCCGAAAGACCCAAGGGCATTCAAAATCATCCTCGTAAGCTTTCCTCAACTCAAATGACCTGGCATTGTGTTCCCTTTTCCTCCCATGAATTGTGATTCTCAGAAAGATAGGTGAAGATGAGTGGAAAGGAACATACCGGAAGATGAAGATTTATCAAGCTATATTGCTTATTCGCAAGCATTTCAAAGAGAATCCCTTCTTCACCAACGACAAGCTCATCAAGGCTTATGAACTTCCTAAGAATGTTGAAGATTCCGAAGAGGAGGCGAAAATTGAGGGAGAGACGTCTAAAGTGGAAGGAGAGATCACCAAAGAGATGCGCGATTTTGATCAAAGTGATCTCAATTCGACCGTAAGTCCGTTCTGCCACCAAAGCTCTCTTATCCTGTTGGGAGACTTCATGTCTTTCAGCTTTTCGTTGGTCGTTGAAGATACGGCATTGTAAAGGCCAGCACGACCGCAAGATATGGCGATAGACTAATTTGACAGAGCATGAAGATTGACTGGAAATCAAGTGAAGTGGATCTATGTGCCAAATTTCCTAGACAGATGTCAGAAGGAGAGATCGATTACGATGGTGACAAGGGGTCCTTCTTTTACTACTTCACCGCGGAAAACGATCCATATGCCGTGAGTCTATTCTCGTCCCACATTCTTTGCCCAACTTTCGCATATATCACAGGGCAGCCTGCCTACATAAAGCGCCTCCGAATATGGCGGAGGCCTTGAAAATTTGATTTTAGCTGACCTCCAGGTCGGCCCAATTTTATCGCAAGACGTACTCACAGAACCTATCGAATACTTTACCGGTAGAGCTGATAACTGCCGTGAAGCAGAGTACAGCGAAGACGAAGAAGATGAGGAGGACGATGAGGATGAGGATGAGATTGACTTGGAAGAGGAAGAGCCACGTGATCTAAAGCGTAGGAAACTCAACGGCGCTTAATCTACCGTATCTCTCGATCTTCCCCTCCGTAAATCCAGTCCACAATCGTTCATATCTTCCCATCAAAATTCCTACCGCCTATCAGTTGATACCACCCTTTACAAGCCGATATCACCAGTTTATCAGCCAGGATTTCACCCATGTAGAGTGAGTCTTCGAAAGTCGTTCGCAGGCGCCATGAGTTTTCAAATGTGTAAAACGTCCAAAATCGAAGTGTGTAGAACCAAAGTGCAGAAGTAGGCAGTAATGTAATGTGATGCATTCCCTATGAGTTCTATCGCCTGCCAGAGTTTGTCGATAATTGCGCTCTGCGAATTAGTGACGTACTGGTATATCTCTTTCCTTTCTAGCTCTCGATGCTCTGATCTAGAGCTGTGGACTGTGATTTTGATGATACAGTCAGGTAAGTCTTGGAGAGAGAGTGAAACACGCAGAAAGAGGAAAACGTAAAAGCACCCCATATAACGAATCGACAACTGAGAAAAAGAGAGGAGACAAAAAAACCCACCTTGCAGCCATAGCGGATCTATGTCGTTCTTCTAACCATTTATAAACTTCACTACCACCCTCTTCTCCTTCCAAAACTGACAATATCTCCCTCGCGATCCTCGTCTCTCTCGGTACACCAGCTTTGCGACCTCTCTCTGCGGCTCTGTATATCCAACGTATGGCTTGACCTATTCGTTGTCTTTCGTCCAATGCTTTGGGCACATCTTTGGCTCGACGGGAGATGACAACGGATGTCACTCTGACAGCTGGTGATACGAGGGAGAGGGCGCGATGGATGAGGGGGACAGGAGGGAGGTTTGTAGCTCTTTGACTGGTGGTCAATCGCAATTTCTTCACTGATTATACTTTATCCTCCATTATAATCTGATCGCCATCTCCCTTACTCGATCTTCTTTCTCGTCTCGGCTTTACGGTATGATAGAAAGACCCTCTACAGTATATCCCCTAAGTCATCTCAATCTAGATTCCGGGATTGAGGCGGGGTTCAATCGACTTGAGATTATCCTCCTGCTCAAGCATACACAGTCGTAGAAAATAGTGTATATCATGATATGGATTGATAGGCTATCCAACAGTGATGTGATGTATGTGAAACAAGGAAGAAAAGACCCACATCGATTCCAACATCCTTGACATACGTCGTTGAGCTTGAGACTTCTTGCCATCTCGCATCAACAAATTAGTCATCAATTCCAAAGCCGGATCCATCTTCGGAGGTAGAGTAGAAGGATCATATCCTCTTCTAACTGGTACTTCAGTTGGTGGTCGTGGACGCGAAAAAGATGTAGAGGGGGATGGTCGGTTGAGTATAGAACTGAGAGCGTCGAACCCCGAGCTGGAAGATTGTGTTGTGGTGGCGTATGTCTTCACACTTTCTCTAATATCATAAATGGATTGTTGTTTGCTGAAGGAGACTAGAGTCCTGAGTGTGTTTCGAAACATCTTGAGGTGCAGAAGACGAAGTACGAAGACAGGGCTGAATATGAGGGGGGTGGACAATTTCTGCTTGTATGAGAGAAAGTTTCCCACGGTCGTCAAGAAATTCATGGAAAAGTTCAAAAGTTCGAGTTCTGGATCTAGAATTGCTTCAAGTAACAACCAAAATGGCGAAGAGAACTTCAGACGCAGCGGGATCAGAGTCCAATGGGAAGGTTCAGGATAGAGGGCAGGGAATACCCAGAGAAGGACAGAAGGTAGATGACGAAATGGGCGAGTTTGAGGATCGTTGGGAGGATGATATTGAATCGGAAGAGGATATGCAGGAGGGGGAGAATGATGGTGGGTAGTACTTGTCTTCTCCTTTCCTCACATCTTGCCATATCTGTCATCCAAGATATGTGTCTCTCAGACTGATACTATGATGGCTTGTCTTGCTTCTCCATTTCGCAATGACATTTGTCCTCGCTCACATGACACGGACCATCCTCTCTTTCCTCTCTCAACTTTTCGCCTGGGCATGTTGAGGCTGGACAGCATGAGCTATTGAAGATTGGGAAAACTCCCAATCACATGAGGAGGATTTTATGTTGAGTTGAGAGTTGATCACCAGACTTTACCCCCGCAATGGAAGACGATCAACCTTCTCAACCCCGCAAACAAACCTATTTACCAGGAACCAAGCTCGATGCTGATGAACAACTCACTCCCGACCTTTCCGTTTACCTCCTCCTACATTCACTCTCTTACGCTTGGCCTTGTCTATCTTTCGATATCCTCCATGACGATTTAGGTTCTTCTCGAACTTCATACCCACACACCGCATTTATTGTTTCTGGTACACAAGCAGGTACGATCCCTGGACAAGGTCGAGCCAAAGATGAAGTAGTTATCATGCGTCTTTCTGGTTTAAGCAAAACTCAACAATTTTCCGATTCCGATTCTGAAAATGAATCAAACGATGAGAATGATATTGAAGAAGATTCCAAATTAGATTTCTTAACCATACCTCATATCGGTAATGTTAACAGAATCCGAGCTGCTCCTACTTTACTCAATTCAACTATTCCTGATCCTTATCATGTTGCAACTTTCAGTGAAACTGGTAAAGTTCATATATTCGACGTACGACCATATATCGATACACTTTCAGGACCTTCTAAACCTCGTCAAAAAGTTCCCATACATACCATCAATAATCATGATAGATCAGAAGGTTTCGCTTTGGAATGGGGTCAAAGTGGTTTGTTAAGTGGGGATTGTGATGGGAAAATTTATAGAACGGTGTTAACTGAAACGGGTTTTAAAACGGAACAAAAATCTTTTTTAGGACATGAGAATAGTGTTGAAGATATTCAATGGAGTCCAAACGAAATGGGAGTTTTCGCTTCTTGTTCAGCTGATAAAACTGTTAAAATGTGGGATGTTAGACAAAGATCAAAACCTGCTTTGAGCGTCATGGCACATGATGAAGATGTGAATGTTATCAGTTGGAATAAAGAAGTTGATTATCTGTTAGTTAGTGGTGGTGATGAAGGTGGTATAAAAGTATGGGATTTGAGAATGTTTAAGCAGTGAGTGGTCCTTTTTTCTTTTTTCGTCTTCACTGGATCTCTTTTCAAAATCATATATCGTCCTTATCAACCCTATAACATCTAGACGGTTCCTACTTTTCCATCCAAAGGTAATCACTTTCGGTCAAAGAAGAAGGAGGAGGAGGAGGAGGAGGAGGAGACAGGTGCCGGGAGATACTGTAAGACAGATCATCGTGCTGACCACCAGACAACCATCACCGGTCGCTCACTTCACTTGGCATACCGCTCCTATAACTTCAGTCGAATGGGATCCTAATGACTCTTCCGTCTTCGCTGCATCTGGTGCAGACGATCAACTCACTTTATGGGATTTATCCGTGGAACAAGATGATGATGAAGTACCTATATCTTCACAAGACGGACAGAATTTGAGTATTCCACCACAACTTTTGTTCGTTCATCAGGGTCAGAGGGATGTAAAGGAATTACATTGGCATCCTCAAATACCTGGAGTGGTAATTAGTACAGCTTCCGATAGTTTCAATGTTTTCAGAACTATTTCTTCTTGATCTTTCGCTCATAATCTGTTATAAAATTACTTTGCATGTGTATGGAAAGAAGAGAGATGAATTGATATATTTGCATTTGCATTTTGTCACAACATGAGATTTTGCGATGTACAATTTTGGATCGTTACAACCTTCCTCTACCGAAGCTCTATCATCTCACACTTTCCCACCATCATCGCGACACCCGTGCTGCAAACTGATAGCTGACTTATATAGCTCACCAGATATATTATGAATCTGACTCAAATCCAACCCTGCCAGAAGTCTGAAGATGGACATTAGAATCACTTTTCAAAATGCCCAAACTCCCACTTGAAACAATCCACACATTCAGTCTCTGGAGCTTGTTTGGGCACACCACCATGTTTCTCCCAACCCCCATCATCATCATCATCATCACCTCCAGCCTCTTCACTACCCTTTTTTGGACCTCGCCGACGCCAGCCCCAAAAGTCGAAAAAGTGAGCGAAGGAGCTGAGCATGGTCTCGGCTTGAAGACGGACTGTTTCGAGGAGATTGAAAAGTGGTACGACTTGTTTGACTGGTGATGAGATGGAGAAGGAAGAAACAAGTTCTGTGTCGTTCTCCGTTCCTGGCCATGGTTCTGCCAAAAGCTTGTTGATCACTTCGCCTATTCGATGTGTGCGGACGTCGACGGACCAACCTTTGACAGTGACTGTGTCATATAGAATTGTTTGGCCTGTGTGACATTTACTCTCGAGAGCCTATTCGTCAGGTCCTCTCCCCCAAAAGTTGCGGATATGCTATATCCTCCCACCCAAACATGAGAGGGATCCACGTACAAACCACTCTGTAGGGAGAGAGACATTATGGAAGTTCAGAGGGATATACAATGCTAAAATGGACATAGACAAATAGCTGGAAGTGTAGACTCACAAAGCCAGCTGCGTAACAGCCTGAATATCCGCCCGTGCACGCGCCCATGGGAATTGGATCAGCTGTATGATACAAATGGGTGATCCCTGTCTTCTCCGATGGCATACCTGGTGGAAGAGGCAAATGAAGACGTTCAGCAGGTAAGCGCTCGCCGGGAGCTTCGTAAGTCACCACGGGGACACCGAAAGAAAGCCCTATCATGGCTGATACGGCACCGCCAAGGGAGTGACCGACGAGCCAAATAGTAGCGTTGGGATACATGTAGGTGATATTGTTGTATAGATTCTATTTGTCAGCATTTGGTGATACGTGTCCTTCATGACCCGGCGACAAATGATTAGGGCAAAGAGTTTAGACGCACCGTGCCTACGGTGGCATATACACTGTCCGATACTAACGCATCCTCCAGACACTGTTGCTCGCATCTGTACCCTCCAGAATAACAATCGCATACTGTGCTCCACGAAAAATCAACCCTCGCGCAACAGCAGGAGAAGAGGAGATTGTCATTAAACTTGTCGTTTTTAGCCGTTGGACCTCCTATACCGAATACACCTGCTGAAGTGCCCTTGAGAGCGATGATGACTGTCTCATTGTTAGGATCGGCGAACTGTCATTCAGTGACTATATCTATAATCTACATGTGATCAAACCTCCGCAGGATGTGCGAAGCGTGGGTTAGGAGCGAGACGGTACTTACCACATGCCCCCTTAATCCATCCGCATCGGGTTCCCAACCTATAGGAGTAGAAGCATTCCACTGTTCGCCTAGAGGGTACCATTCCCCTCCGTCTGGAAGAACATAAGCATTACTCGCCATTTTGGCTAGAGTCATCAAGGTTTGTCTATCCCGGACATCTGGTCCCATAACTTCTACATCGTCCCATTCACCTTCTTGATCTGCATAGTCGGGTGCGAGCCATCCCGTCTCGACGGTAGAATTGATTCCTAGACTTCTAGTACGGCGATTACGAGCCGCCCAGGCCCATGAGAGTATATGCGGTGGACGATCACGCGGACGTCGGATGGTCATGGGTCGAGTACGGACAGTGAGGGGAACCGCGGCTAAATCAGGTGAAGGGTTGTCGAGAAGATAAACAGCTTGATCTGCTTCTGATAAAGGATAAAGCGATGGAGGGGATACGAGGGATTGTGAAGAGGTAGGATCATGTAACAAAAGAGTGGGTTGGGTGAGATTGGTGATGGAGTGAGAATGAGCATGAATGGGGCGGAACGTGAGTGGTTGGGAAAGTGAAGGTGGCGACTGGCGGGAAGGATGGAAAGATGGGAAGAGATGAAGGGCGAGTTGAGTGATGAGAGCTATGTGCATGTTGACTGTATCCTCGACGTCGAGGCAAAGCCAGGGATAGGGAAGGCGTCTTTGTCGCACTTGTTCGACTTGAGAAGCTTATCGTCCTGGGGATCCGGAAACAATGGGGACGACAAGAAGGATGGCGACAGCGATGGCGAGGGTGGCGGCGGGGGTTGACACGTGTACACGTGGCGTTTATTATGCGGCTAGTGGTGCAAGTGATAAGCCTTTCATTGCAAAAGTGTTCCCGATAGATCCATATTTCAAAACCTAGTATCCAACAAATCATCTGGCAGATAAGAATCATGGCCACCTTAGCCCTCACTCACCCACTTATCCGACCGTCAGCACTATCAGCGCTCAGCTTGAGAATATCTACGGCCATTTTCGCTCGACCGGCTTGGTCCCTTCCTTGTGTCCCTTCCACCTCCTCCGTCCCTCTCACATCATGGTATGCCCCACTGTTACCCGCCCTCGATAGTCTGCTCGAACTCTTTCCGCCTTTTCTCCTCACGGCACCGAAAAAGAAGACGTCTCATTCGAGAAAGAGCATGCGCAGTGCCAATAAAGGGTTGAAAAATAGAACAAGTAGGTTGAATTTCTCTCCGATCATTCCTATGTCGCTTGCTGTCCCCTATTCCTGTATTTTCTCCCTGTCTCATATGCTCTGAGCCCGTTCTTCCGTCTGTCATGTCAAATGGTATAGTGCTCCGAGTGACAAGGGACTAACATCAGACTTCTCCCACTGCGCAGCTTGCGGACAGGTCAAGTTGATGCACAATGTCTGCCCTTACTGTTACTCTCAGATATCCCGAAGGTGAGTTTCCTGAAGTCATGATTGGGCCATTGTGTTTAAGCTGACGAAGAGATGGAAGAAAGAAGCAAGAGGGGAAATCAGCGAGACGCTCCATATTCCCAAATCCACATGATCTCCTGCGGCCGAGCGTTCTTTTTCCACCCCGCCAACATATCCAACTGAGTGTGTTTCCCTACGGATGTCATCTGGATCGTCGTCACGGGTATAGTCAGCAGGAAAGGGACATCAAAAATCCGCTTCTCATCGATCTGACGTCTGAGATGGAACATTGTTCGAGGCATGAGGTATGGTGCGCGCGGAGTGACAAAAGGGAGGGGAGGGTCGTAGTAGTAGTAATGCTCCGTGATCCGTGAAACTTCTGTTGGTTTCAATGATATGCATGTTCATGGCCGGTCTATCAACCATCGGCCTCAGTACCGCCAGTACCGCTAGCTATTGATATATCCTCTCGCAAGATCCCAAAGCATATAAGGATACTGACGATAGGATCGAAACTACTGTGAATTAGCCTCTGAGAGCTATGAAGTTTGACAGTTCAAATTTCACCTCCCGAAATTACTCTCTCTGTCAGTTTCGCACACTTGACTTACTCCGACAACATCTTCTATCCCCTCTTCACTTGCCAAATGTACTGGTACATATCTTTCCTGCGTCCACCTCCTGTGACTGCACCAGCTTCAAGCACCATCCTCATCACTCCTCAAGTCGCCAACGACCTCCGTACCGAGTGTGTGTTCTTCTAACCTTTCTTCTTCCCCCTTTACTGACGGATAGACTTCGATATGATCCTACTCCCCTCGTTTTCACATGGCAACGTGTGTCGCCTTCATCCGATCCTCCTCTTCCATTCTCAGGACTGACCACTTTTCTTCCTCCCGAAAGCACATACCGACCTATCCCTATTTCCCTGCCAAAAGTAGCAAAGAAAGGCGAGCGATGGCGTCTGGGTATCTTCTCCAATCCAGCTATAGGTTCCTTGGATCAACTCAAGATACTTGGAAGCCTATTGGAACATCCTGATGTGGTTGGAGTATGGAGCGAGGGGATGCTCCTCACTTCACCTGTACTCACGGGAAAGAATGACGGGAAAGTTGGAAGTGGGAAGGGAAAGGGAAAAGAAGAGGATATGCCAAAACAAGGACGTATATCCAGAGAGTGGGCCTTGGACAAATCTACAACGCTAAGAATAGTCGAGCAGACATCGTTTGATCTTGACAAGGTAAGTACTAGTGTGTCCTCCTTACAGGTTTTGTCCCAATGTGCTGACTGCAGAAAATTTGGGATTCAGGTCTCGCTCTGAGCGCCTGGTTATGGCAGTTACTGCGATCATCTCTCTCCACCAAGAACAAATATGCTCAGAGCTTAGTATGCGATATCCTAGAGGTTTTGCGCTCAGAGGGAGGAGAAGTGCTGGAACTAGGAAGCGGTACAGGTCTGGTGTCTATCGCGTTATCATTAGCGATGACCCAAACTGATCGGCGAGGTGTTGTGAAGATAACAGCAACTGATCTGGGTTAATTCTTTGGTTGTTCGTGATCGCAGCTGACATGCAGAATCGGCGATGGATCTGATGGACGAAAACATTGCTCTGAATCAGCATCTCTACGAATCGGTCGTCTTATCAGCCAAAGTGTTGGACTGGGAGCGACCTCTTCCCCCTGAGATCGCTCAAAACCGGCCTCGCCTAGTTATGTGAGCTGTTTGTACGATTGACATGGTGTTGGCTGAAGAGAAGAGCCGCAGATGTGACTTATAACACTGCTTCTTTCCCTTCACTCCTGCGGACGATTTCTTCTTTATTGATGACGCCTGAGGGTAATATGCAGCCAGTCCTGTTATTGGCATACAAAGAGCGTGATCCGGGAGAAAGAGAATTGTGGGACATGCTTCGAGACGCAGGCGTGAACATGAAACTTGTAGACAAGGTCAGAGGTTGTGAGGAAGGGGAGGAAGGAACGGTGGAAATTTGGTCCGGCACTTGTCATTCATGATGCAGAGAACGTCTACGATGCATTTCTAGGCTTGTTAGTCATAAGAGAGGCCTCGCGACTTCAACTCAGTCGAACGGATGGGGATGCTTTGGTGCTATGCCAGAAAGTAATCTCAGAGGTAAGAGAGGAGAAGGATCAAATGCCACCTTCTGCTATGGATACAAAGACGTGGTCACCTGTCCGTTTCCTCCTTTAAGTAACTTACTTACAATTGTACCTTACATTTCTACATCTTACTCCAACTTCTCAAACATATTGTCCCGTATATCTACTCTCAACCTATCATCAGTCTTCGGCCAATCAAAGCAAATCAGCCCTCGTCCCATGCATTTCCCCCCTCACCAGCCCAACGAGGCCGAACCGCTATGATCCCCTCCCCTCGAAGGACTGTCTCTACACCTACTGCGCCTACTACCTGGCCTGATATTGACGATGATGATGGTTGGCAAGGTTTGTCCATACCTATTTTGCCCCTCTCCAGTCATTTTTCCACCCACAATGAGAAGCTTACTGGACGATGGATCGTGAACGTTTAAGCTGATGCATCAGATATGCCCGTCGTCCGGTCCGACGATAACCCTTTCGGATTAGATACAGATGACCAAAAACGTTATCACTATCGACCTCCTGCTCGACTGGATGCTTCAACCTCTTCTCCCTCCTCAACACCCATTATTGGATCCACGTCAAATGCTACGGGCGCTCATCTTGAGGTGGATGCCGATACACTTCTCACCGAATCTTGGCGTGATAAGATAGCTCAAGATGAATCCGAGTACACCCGTCTTCGATTGGATGAAGATGAAGAATCGGAGGAGGTTCATATGCGTACGAGATATCTCTTCAATGAAGAAAAGGCTATGACCCCTCTCAGTCAGATGCAGGCCACCAAGGAGTTACTCACTGAAGGACAGAGAATTGCTTATGTGGGACTATGTCATTTGATCGCAAGACGTATGGTCAGAGACGCTGGCAGAGGTTGGGAGGGAGTCAAGGTCAAAGGGAAAGGAAAGGGAAAAGAGGTTCCGGTTGTGGAGAGTGCAAACGTTTGGATGATGAAGATCATGGCTAGGTTATATCAGCATATGGAGTTGGAAAGAGAGGGTGAGTATCAGTCGTAGGACATTCGACCTCGTCACCTCATTTCGTTCCGTGCAAACCTCTTGGTCCTGTATATCTCATCTCTACACCTTATGGTTACATCTGTGATGAGCCGTGCGTGATTCGAAGATAAGGCAGTAACTGATTGATATAGAACAACGAATGATCGAAAGTCTCGCAGAGCACGGAGTCGACCCGCGAGATCTTGTTCCAGCACTCATGACCACCCATACCGTCAAGAATCCAGAATTCGATCCGGTGGCGAAGAAAAAGGCTGAAATGGCCGCCGAGAAGATTGACGAAGAAAATTCAGATACTGAGACTGAAGTTCCCCCTCCACCATACCAGGAGAAAGCAGACGAGCATATCGATGACCCCTCGTCCCCTTCGTCAATAGACCCAACAACCATCCCATTACCGGCGACGTCTCCTGAGCCATCCTCTCCTTCACCTGTATCTCACATCGGCAAGTCTATCGATCCCTTCGGGGACGATTCGGACGCAATCTCCATACCCTCTGCAAGCAGCTCGATTCCCCCAACTACTTTCTCACGGCTTTCAATATCCGATCCAGATCCTGGCACAGATGACGAAGGCGATATTGGCACATCCCTCTCTACATCTAGACCCCAGGGGCAGTCAAGTACTTATAAAGTTGAGGAGTCCACTGAGGTCAAGGGAGCCATGACAGAAGAGCAACAACCAAGTGAACTCCTTCACGTTTCGGAGCATATCGAGAAACCGCCGCAAGACAATAACAACGATCCGACGGAAATGGTAGAGAATGCTATGCCGTCCTTGCCAGGTGTTTCGACTCATTTGTCTAATACCGATGAGACAGTCACACTCGATATCCGATGGACAGTGGTGAGTTATACCGCCGTTCTGGAGTTAAAGTGGGCATGTGCTGAGCACACAGTTATGCGATCTATTCCTCGTTCTCATAGCCGATTCAGTATATGATGCCCGTTCTCGGGCTTTCCTAGAGAGAATAGCTACTGCCTTAGGATTTGGCTGGCTCGATGCGGTGCGTTTCGAAAATCGAGTGACAAATGCTCTAGAAATCGAAGAATCATTGGAGAAGACAGAGCAGAAGGGGATCATAGAAGGACGGAGAAAAGCGGCGTTAAGGAAACGGTATGCTATGATGGGTCTTGCTGCTGTCGGTGAGCTAATTTCTTCTTGATATTAATGGCGCTGATCCATAGGTGGAGGTCTGGTCATTGGACTTTCGGCAGGTTTATTGGCACCCATCATCGGAGCTGGACTCGGAGCGGCACTTGGGACGATAGGTGTGACGGGTACCACTGGATTCTTGGCAGGTGCGGGAGGAGCAGCGGTCATCACCACCGGAGGAGTCTTGACAGGTGCTAATATAGCCGGCAAGGGGATGGCCAGACGGACCAGGGAGGTCAGACGATTCGAGTTTAAGCCGTTGCACAACAACAAGCGGGTTTGTTGCTATGTCACGGTAGGAGGGTGAGTATTCCTCTTCATGTCCCCTCCAGCCGCTCATCTAGATCGTTCGGAGTCTCTTGCATGTTGCATGATGCCCCCTTTCCCCATCTCTGTTTTTTGGCCGCTATTCCTTCGTGTTCACCGTGGTAGGCTCACCGCTGGGCCTTCCTTTGATCAGTCAGGTACTGAGACTGAACACGTCTGATATGTAGATTCATGGCGAGTAAAGTGGACGACGTCCGATTACCATTCTCAGTCTTGGATCCCGTCGTTGGTGATGTTCTCTCAGTTCTGTGGGAACCGGAGATGATGGCGGAGATGGGAAGCGCCTTGAAAATTCTCACTTCGGAAATCCTGACTCAGGTGGGACAACAAGTCTTACAGGCGACTGTGATGACTGCATTGATGAGTGCTCTACAATGGCCCATCAGTGGGTATTTTTCTGCTCTTTCACTCTCCAATTTTCCCCGCACATATCTCCCGAGATTTCATCTCTCTTTCATCACTCGTACGCGACATCGGTTGTCCGCCGGTTGTACCTCTGAGGAAAGAATTTGACAGCTGATATACATAGTTTTGACCAAACTCGGCTACCTCATTGACAACCCCTGGTCCAACGCTCTTGATCGCTCCCGAGCCGCTGGTCTCGTATTGGCCGATACGATCATACATCGTCATGCTGGTGTTCGTCCCGTCTCCCTGATCGGTTTCTCCCTTGGCGCACGGGCAATCTTCTACTGTCTCGTCGAACTCGCCAAACATAAAGCCTTCGGTCTTGTCCAAGATGTTTTCGTATTCGGAATGACGGTTACGGCTTCGCGTCAAACATGGCTCGATGTACGTTCTGTCGTCGCTGGAAGATTCGTCAACGCCTTTGCTACGAATGATTGGATGTTGGGTTATCTGTTCAGAGCCACATCAGGTGGGTTGAACACCGTGGCGGGATTGAGACCGGTGGAGACCATTCCAGGACTTGAGAATGTGGAAGTGACCGATGTGATAACGGGACATATGAGTTATCGGAGCTGTATGCCTCAACTACTGGCCAAGGTCGGATTTCCGGTGACGGCGGATTATTTCGATGAACCTGCTGTGAGTGCACGTATCCGGTCATCTGCTCCTCCCACCTTTTATTAACGGCGTCATACAGTTTGAATCGAGTACCGGTCTCCTCTCTGGGGCAGTCAATATCAGTCATAGAATGTTTTGTGTAATGCTCCTAGTGGAGCTCGGTGGTCAAATACTGATGTGTAGGACCCCGAAGTCGACATGAGCGTACAAGAACGAACGATAGTACGAGAAGCCGAAGAAGAAGAAGAAGCCAATCCGACCAGAAAGAAGATCCTAGGAATCTTTCCCAGACAATCGAAACGTTCTGCATCTGGAGTCAAGACTCCAACGACCACTTCCAACTCTGAGAAAGCCGCCGTGGCAGGGGGTGTTGTTCCTATTCCATCATCTCCTGGAGACGATGATGCTCTACCTCCTCGAGAAGATGAAGGTGACATCGGATTGGCTTCAACCTCTGCGGCTCGTTCTCAAGAATCTCTAGCAACGGAAGAAGACGCTGAAGTTCGGGGTATACCCAAGACTGCCGGATTTGACTTTGCTGCTATCTCTCGAGAATTGGGCAAAGATGTCAAAGTCGATTCTTTACCAACACCATCTCCCTCTATCTCTATTTCCCCAATCTTTCAACCGACACCCGAGCGGACAGGTTCAGCCCCACCCATCACTGTTAATCCTCCCGATCAAACGGAGCAAATTACAACATGGTCATCCGCTCCGGGCCGCACACTTCGAAGTGTCTCTACTTCCTCTACCCCTTCTCCTCGAGCAGAAGTCATATCTCCGAACGGTAATATGGGAGTTGATATGTCTTCATGGGACCGACCTATATCATCATCATCATCGCCCTCACCTTCACTTCAGTCATCTTTCAAATCATCCTTTAATTTTGGCTTCAACGCATGGACCGCCCCAAATTCCGTTTCTACAGATGCCAAGGTTGCTGTACCGATGCGATCTGCACCTCCCGCTAGACCCCACCCGCCAGAATTGATGGCTAATCCATTCGCAAACAATTCAACTTTAGACATCAAAGATACTTCTGGGGGTTCAGTGACATGGGATAAAAAGTTGTCTGGAGTGAACGGAGTAGACGAACAATGGGCAGAGAAGAACCCTTGGTGAGACGTGATTAGGGATATAACAAACTAGTAGATTGGTCGATGGGTGCTTTAGAAAGAGGTATATTGGAGGGGAAATTGTATTGGTACGGTATACGCATCTCATACTATGCATTTTGCATCTGCTACGTTCGCCACTTTTCGGACCTTGACCTTTTCCATCCTTCCTACGACAGAGTTCTTGAGTCGAGACCGCGAGGGGGGGGGGGGGGGGGGGCGCGCAAAGAAAGAGGATAGGAAAATGCCGCATCGGTAAAAGTGAAAATTGACGTTTTCGTCATCAAGAATCCTTTGCCCCCGTCATCCCATCATCCATTATCCATCATCTATCCCACGCTTCCCATCACTACAGTAAATCATCTCTGAGTATAAGTCATTACTAATGCTAGTGTATCTGAGTGAAGCCATTACTAATGCTAGTGTAATACATCTCTTCTTTCTCTGTTTTTACTCGTTCTTGCTGAAGCTGATGCATGCCGGATCTCCGAGACTGTTTTTCTACCTCTGATCTCTGAGCATATAAAGGGAGTCGGAGATGAGAGGAAATACTCACTTCAATTCGTACTGAACCACTCATCTATCATTGCATAACTTGACTCATTTGACTACATACAATTGATCTGAGAACCTCACTCCAAACCAAGCCCCCCAATTGTTTTCTTTGGTCGAACAAGAAGTCGGTCTAGGAGGAAATATATCAACAATGAGGTAGGCTTGTTTTTCGATAATAGACATGTAATTAGCGCTGACGGGTAGTCTATCAAGTTTCAAAGGGGCTTTCGTTGGGTTTCTCCTCATTCTCACTTACTCAAATGTGAGTGTAATTCTTCCACCTTCTCACCCTGTTGCGAACCTTCGTCTTTTTGGCAGACAATCGAAAATGTGTCTCACCCAACAGAGAGATATGAAATTCGAAACGGAGGGCGTTTATGATCAAGAACAATCAAGAGCCAATGGAATGGAATGAGAATGTACAGGGAAATTGTGTAGAGACAAAACTCATAAATAGATGGTACTTGATATTATCCTAATTACCAAAGTCCGACATGGTTCCGATGTTCGACCACCAGCCGTCATAGCTCATCTAGTCGCTGTTATCTTACAAATGCTTTGGTGTTTATACTATCTCATTAGAGGAGGTGTGGGTCGAATATTGATCGCTTCGAACGTTTTGGCAGTCACTGTCTTCTTTTGGTGTTTCGAATTTGGTAAGTTTTACTTATTCCTCATCTTATACCCACGGGGATTGCGTTCCAGATGGGCTGTGACCATTCATCCGTGTGGTGAAGGTATGGTAACGGACGTTTGACACGAGTTAAAGAATATGGAAAAAGTCATGAGCTGACCAATAGCATGTACAGTAGCGTACACTACTTTAAGACATCATTCACAATATTGCGCTCCGACAGCTATCAATGCGGCTGATTGTTCTGGCGTACTAAGGGTGAGTTTTTGGTCCTCAAATTTCGACTTTATCCCCTCTGTTTCCTTTGCTCAAATTCACGCTGGCATGGTTTCCGTTGTCATCTACCTTCCATCCTCCACACTTACAGTCGCGAGGGCCGCGTCACATATTCACAGTGTTGGGGACTGCGCTTACATCCAGGGTGTCGAAGGTCTAGGCTGGTCATTGATCGGTGCAAACCTCATCTATATCATATTCCTCATTGCACTCGTTTCCTCACAAGGAACTTGGAATTCCGAGATGAACCAAATACCTTCCAAGAAGTCATCTACGGTGGACGTGGAAAGAGCAGAGGCATATTGAAGAGTCTCTTACGCCCATCATGATCGGACCAGGAGGGACTGAACGTAAGAATATGATGTATTTTGTAGGAAAGGAAACCGAATGGAGAGAAATTAATAAGATGTTATAAGTATACGTGTTGAGTGAGATGTTAAAAGTATACGTGTTGAGTGAAGTAGTAGGCAGTAATATATATATATATATAGATCAATATAATCAAATAATAATCGTATGCTAAAAGATATTACTCTATTGTATCCCATACGAATCTGACCGTCCCTTCATTCTGTCCTACACCCTCTATAGCAGATTGACTTTCATCTTCCACCTGCGAACTTGGCCACGGTGTCACCGCAGGTTTTCCCGGACCTCTGTTCCGGAGATGGATCTTGAGTTCTGTAAGGGTCTGAGGGGTCCAGTAGGATGTGAGACGATAGGCCGACAATGGGAGAGAAGGGGTGGAAGTTGATGGAGAAGGTTTAGGTTCTTTAGGGGAGACCGGAGAGGGGTGCATGGAAGGGTCGAGAGGGGTGGAAAGAAGGGTAGTGTAGAGGTCAAGTAGGTAGTGTGTGATGTCTGCTCGTCAATGATCATTCCAACATCGTTCACCGACCTCAGTGATATCATTTTTAGGAGATCAAAGGCCTTCCGACGTAGGTCACGACTATTTGTGAGGGATTGAGGACGAGATTACGGGAAATGATGTTTACTCACCATCGACCTGATTGGCTGAAGCGAAAAACTCTTCCTCCCACGAACCCAACTTTGATAGAGTCTCCACGACATATTCCCATGTTCCTGACTCTACAACAGGCCGATTTTCGGTATCGGAGTTTGAAAGAGGCACTGGTGATTCGAGAGATAACAGAGCTGCGACATATATCGAACCCAACGCGATAAGGTGTGGAGGGAAGCTGAGTGGGGCTGGCGTACGATGACTTGTGATCAGTCATAAGGCCCGAAAACCAAAACAATGTGGTAGCCGACGAAATTTGTAGAAATGTCAAGGGACTCACCAGTCGACCGCGATGGACCAGGCTGCCTTACAAGCTTTCCTATCCACTGAAAGTCAGCGTCTAGATCCCTTTCGCTGGGATATGTATTGTCTGCCTCAATGAAATACAGATGTTGGAAAACACGAAGGCCAGGTTGTTCCGATATGAGTAGAAATCATGACTTACGTCTCAATCTCCGTGACAGTTTCAAAACATAAGGTCCCACTTCATCCACCTCAAATTTGAAACACATCGTCTCCAAGACTAACCTCTCAATCCCTAATACTTTCTTGCGTTCTTCTTCTATCACTCGAGGGTCGACAGATGAAGCGTCCACTTGACCTTTCTTCACCAGATGAGGATATCGGATTGCGTATGAGGCGAGAATGATATCGCGGGGTTTCTTGAGAGTATCGTGGAGTTTTGCAGAAACGTGTAGAACGGAAAGACAAACGTCCTTGACGTCAGCCAAGTCGTCCCTGACAAAACCTCTTCCTCACGGGTGCATGGTTGATATACCATTTCAACTGGGAGGTCTTGATTTAAAAGAACTCTCTCCATGAGGACATCCATACGATATGAACATATGCGGAGACGGTCATTGTAAGATACCATTCAAAAGCTCGTGGGGTCAGAAAGTGAGTGTAAAGGGTTATGGTATGGTAGGAGTAGCAGCTGGAGATAGAGTAGACCTCACGATATGATTAAAATCTTTGTAGGGGAAGAATAGATGGAACCGCATGTACAGAGTTTGAGCTGTTGAGATGGTCTTTCTTGGACTGAAAATTAGTACCTGCATCTTCTCATCCGCCATGATCAAATCTGACCCCGAACCCAGTTCTCCTCTCTCTACGTAAGGATGGTAGAATAGGTCAGAGGGAGCTTCAGATCCAAACCCACGATGGAGCACAGGAAGGCTCAGGGGAGGAAGAACGACTCACAACCCACACCTCACCCCCACACCCTCAATGAACCCGCATGCCTGTAACCTCACTTTCTCTTCTCGCGATACACTCAATTTGCCCCGTTGTTTGGTAGACAGCCGTTCGACCTCAGCTGGAGAGAAGTATGGTTTGAAATGTTTGATTTTAGCAGAACTCTCTGGTGCCATCTTGATTGGTTCGAGTGATCACCGATGGAAAGGAAGATATGAAAAGACGAGACGGACAAAGTTAGCTGATCAGCGGCCGCAGCGGGTTGCAGCATACGTCTGAGATCCTTCTTTTGCGAGGGACATTGATAAGCCATGCATGAATTTGATAATTATTTAATGATTTACAAGCTCAGAGTTGCCCCCTCCCACCACCACCTAGAACACTCTCTCTATCATTCTCCTGCACCTCGCTGATACTCAGAGGCATCATTAATATTACCAACTAGCTTTATGCATCCCTGGAATCTCGCCCGCCAGAGCTTTCGTTCTGAATTGGAACTACTCGTCAGTTTCTGTATCGTTACGTCTCATGCTACGACCCGCAACCGTTCATGACACAGAAATGGATGATGAAGACGACAGCCGACGCTTAGGGAGTTGACGACATTGGCAAGAAGTGGAGTAGAAAGAACGAGAAAAAAACTCACCCGACAAAGACCAAACTTCGACATGACCCCCCTTCCCCGCCCCGTCTCCGTACACCTATTCTTCACCCTCCCCGTGAATCCCTCTCCTCCATTATAAGCGTTCAATCCCAGCTGCGCTCGATGTCTCGTGGCTGGAGGTAAGGAGGTATTTCGGGCGACGGCGAGTAAAGCTCTTCTTTCCACTTCGGTCTCTTGGACGGCTAATCGTTTTCGAAAATCTCTTAGGAAACGCCAAGAGACACCTTTGCGTCCCAGTCGGAGCACTTGGGGACTGAGTTGAGCTTGAACAGCTGATTTGACCACGGGGACACTCATGATTGCTTGTCTAAAGAAATCTTGCCGGCAAACGGATTGACCTGTCACTACGAAGAACTTTGAAATTTGTTGATAAGTAATGCCACGCAACTACGACTCGAAACTGTTTATAGATACGATACCATCCGTAGTCTTCGATGCAATTCTTACTATCATCGTAATCGTACTCGTCGTACACATTCAAACAGATTAAAAGTCTCAGTACCTCTGGATATAGTGAAGATATCGCACCGATCGTACGCACTCGAACGTGCATACGAACCGACCCGACGAGACATCGGGAACCGTACAACGAACTGTACGACAAACCGTACACGAAGCACCGTACTGGTGTAGTAGAATAAGGACAGTCCAGCTTCAGTTGTGACGTAGACGTCGCCTTGTAGACGTATAAAATCCAGTCCGTGCTGGTGGCGTACACAGTAGAGGCCTCTGGTGTACGTCTTGCGTACGATAAGTCCTCTACGAGAGTCTATTATTGTAATACGATTCATAAGCTGAAATACAAAGCACGATGTCGCACGATCGTTCGACTACGATTGGTCTCGAATCCGTACCCGTACTATCGAGTCAAAGCAACTACTTCGATTGGAAACTTGCCATAGAAAACTATCTCCTTATCCATGGATGTCTTGGGATAATCGAAGGTACGGATGTCGAACCGTACCGCCAACCTACGATCGCTCGTACGGTTCGAGCAGGCTCAGTCGTACCTACAGCTGAGGAGACTATAACCCACACCTCACTCGATTCAGATGATGAAGGGCGCTGGGAATCGTGGCGTAAACGCGAACTTCGAGCTCAAGGTGCGATCATGAGTAAAGTCGAACGTGGTTTGCTCATTGATCTACGATCTCTTCGAACCGCATACAATATGTGGAAATTCCTTGCAACAGATATGCAACTACAAACACCCGAACATCGTACGGATGTCGAACGCAAGCTACGAATGCTTATGCTCAAGTCGAACCCTACGGATACGGAGATGACCCAACACCTACAGAAGTTTAACCTACTCTGGCTTGAAGCTGAAGAGTCAGGATGCAAGTTCTCAGCCGATACTCATGCGCTCTGGTTCCTCGATTCGCTTCCTCGAAGCGACTTCAAAGTCATGCGATCTCTATACATTAATCTCCCTACGACTTCGAAGATGTGGGCCGAACTTCGACGCTTGTATCAAGTCGAAGTCGCAGATCGCGCACGACTCATTACTCCTACAATGTCTGCTCAGATCAATAATACAAGTGCGGATCATGCGCATTCGCATACGGATACGCATGCGAATACGGATTGGATTAAGACAGCAGAGTGTCACTATTGTCATAAGAAGGGACATCTTAAAAAGGAATGTAGGAAGAGGATTAGGGATGAGCAGAAGGGAAAATCGAAGGGATCGAAGGGAAAATCGAAGGGGTCGAAGCCACAAGTCAATACAACACAATCGACCACGAGAACGACAAACGAAGGCTCTTCGAACCCTACGATTGATCCATTCTGGGCTGTTGCTATCAGTCTTACCGAGCCAACCGTACAGTACGTAGGCTCGAAGCTCGTACCCGAATTCCTCCTTGACAGTGGAGCTACCCACCATCTCACACCTGATCGTACGATTCTCTCGAACATCGTACGACTCGACACGGCTATCACGTTTGGTCTTGCGGATACTACAACCAAGGTTCATGTATATGAAAAGGGAGACATTCTACTACGACTCCCTCTGGTCAAACCGTACGGATCGCGGACGTATACCTTGCGAACGTCGCACGACAGAACATCCTATCCGCAGGTACGCTCAAAGCTCGTGGATGGGACGTAGACTTCGTAAAGGGCGAACTTCGTAAAGGAAAGGAGATTGTTACGATGCGAGAACACAGTGTCCTCCCATATGTACAACTGGGGGAGCTCGTACCCAAGACTACGGGTACGATCAGTTCGACAACTCGTATTGGACCACTACAAACCGAACACAACCGACTTGGTCATATAGGTCGTAATCGTATTATCGAGCTCACACAAGCGGAGGAGCTACGGTACAGTGCGGATGAGTTGAAGGCAGACTCGTGGCGTACAGATAGCTGCGCGGTTTGTCAAGAACAGAAGAATACTCGACTTCCAAAGAAGGATGTCAGTCCGCATGGAACTCGTAATTGCGAAATCGTACATTCAGATATCTCTGGACCCCTACGACCTTCGGCGCAAGGTGCAACATACATCATTACGATGTACAATGACTACTCGAAGGTCAATCGAGTAGTGACCGCACCGAACCGACAGCATGTCGTATTCTACCTTAAGGAGTTTGTCGCAAAGATCGAACGACAACTCGGTGGAACCGTACGATTCCTTCGTACGGATGGAGGCACCGAATACGCAGGATCGCAAGCGCGACAATGGTATGCAGAGAAAGGTATCATACACCAGATCTCTCCACGCTACACACCTGAACTCAATGGTGTAGCTGAACGCTTCAATCGTACACTCAAAGAGATGGCTAGTTCAATGCTATCTTCGGCTTCCCTCGATCATTCGTACTGGGATTACGCTGTACGATACGCATCCGTAATGATGATGAAGACAAGTACGAGTGCGGACGGTACAAATTCGTGGTTCGCACTCACAGGTCGCAAGCCAGGCCTAGAGAAAGCTTTCATGTTCGGTGAACTCGTATACGTACAGATACCGATTGAAGTCCGTGGCAAGTTGCAGCTTGACTTCCACAAAGGAGAACTAGCAAGAGTCTTAGGACAAGAGGAAGGTATGAGTGGTTGGATCGTACGATACGAATCGAATGGTTCGATTGTGGTTAGTCGTGATGTGCGAAGCGCACAGGAATACATTCGACCTTCGGTCACAGTACAAGATCGTGTTCCCTGTCACGAACTACGTCGTGACACCTCGATTACTTCACCAACAATGACCCTCCTTTGGCCATCAAAACCCCATCACGCCTTAACCTCTTTACTCTACACGTAACTCAGGACTTCTGAGACCAAGTACGGCGAAGTTAGACGGGGTTAGGCTAAGTAGGGACAATGGGAGCAGAAGTGCGGCGATGTTAGGCGGAGTTAGGCTAAGTAGGGACAATGGGAGCAGAAGTGCGGCGATGTTAGGCGGAGTTAGTCGAAGGAGGAAGAGGATGGCCGAGGGCTCGGGGAAGTTGGACGAAGTGCGTTGAAGTACGTCAAAGCGCGAGAGGGTTGGATGAACGTCTAGGAGGAGTAGATAATATTAGCTGAGAAGATCGCTGAAGTTCTTCAGCGATCCTTGATTGTTGTCAGTAGTAAAAGACAGATAGAGATAGCTATAAATCAAGATACATCGCCATCAGTAGATCAAAACCCTAGTTAGAGTAACTACGCCGAAGTACGCCGTAGTTACACCCCTTTCGACGTCTGCGCCCTCCTGGTTGGGTGAGACATCGACTCAGAGAGTGAAGTTAGCCGAGGTTCGTCGACCGTCGGTCTATTAAGAAGTAGTTGTTCGACGGCCGTGACAGTATCAAGGATCGCTCTTACCGACGACCCGTGCGAACCTCGGAGAAGTACGAAGATAATATGGAACCAGAAAGAAGAATTACACGAGGCATGAGTAGGGATGGAGACAGGATGGAGGAGAACGAGAGGAGAGCATTGGAGGAGCTTAGCAGAGCAATGGGGCAGGACCTTGGAGTGGAGGATAGTGTGGGGGGATCAATTCAAGGAGATGAGTTCGTTCCACCGGTGCCTTCTAACCCTCCTTCTCCTCCGTCTAATGCTCTCCCACCTGTGGGATCCCCACTTGGATCAGACCAAACCCCACGCCCAAGAGAAAACACTGGAAGTACGGCGAACTTGGGAGAAGAAGGAACACAAGGGGTGGTGTTGGCCTTGATGCAGATGGTGGCGAATATGAACAAAGACATGATGGAGGAGAGAAGACGTAGGGAGGAATGGGAACAGAGAAGAGAAAGGGATACAGTGGGCGGGATTGCAGAAGGGATATCAGAAGGGGTGAGGTACGCCATGGGACGGCAAACTTCGGCGACCCCAAGCGTAGTGGGCGAACAACGGAAAGGGATAAAGCTACCTAACCCAGACCTATGGAGAGGAGATCGGAACAAGTTAACCGCCTTTCTGTCTGAGTGCGACGTACACTTCGAATTGAACTCTCATCTTTTCCCCGACGACACTAAGAAAGTCTTTTTCATGATCTCTCATCTACGCGAAACACCTCTTCTTGCAGTGCAGCCCGATCTATCCAAAAGACCTCTTCCTGAGTACCTCACGACACACGATCAGTTCGTTAAGTACCTCAAGACTAACTTTGGTGATCCAGACGAAGAAGGAACTGCGGCCCGACAACTTAACGACCTCAAGCAAACCGGGTCTGCTTCGGACTACTTCTCCGCCTTTCAGCGACATGTTGCGATTCTCAAGTGGTCTGATGATGGAAACCTAGTTGACCGAGCCAAGAAAGGACTAAAATCGCACCTTCTAGATGAAATCGCAAGACACGGTAGATCGTTTGGGACTGTAAAAGAGCTATTGGAGTTTGTGATTCCCTTGGACAACCGCCTGTGGAGGAGACAAGTGGAGAAGGAGGCAGAGAGGAAAAGGGAAGGAGGGATAAGGACAACGACAGTGGTGGAAAGTCAGAGGACGGAGAAGAAAGAAGAGAAGAAATGGGAAAAGGGGCAACCTTCGGCGCAGGGTGGTGCCCAGGCGGCTATGAGGTCGACGGTGGTAAAGAGTACACCGCCAAACATCGACGAAGTTCGCCGAAGATGGCCTAGGCCGAGCTCCGATCTGAGGGAGACAAGGAGGAAGGAGGGGAAGTGTACCGAGTGTGGTGAAGCAGGACATTGGCTGAAGGAATGCCCTGTAAGGGAGGCTAAGGTTAAGGTTGGACTGTTGCCTCCATGGGGGGAGAAGTTCGGAGAACGTGGTGGAGGATCGGGAGGGAACGCAGTACCTCTCGGACAGAGGAGGAACTTGAATGCGGTTGGAGGAGAAGTAGATTTGGAAGAGGACCAGGGAAAAGAAGAGGACCTGTCGCAGTAGGCGAGGCTCGGCGGGTCCGCCATATTCTCTCGGCCACCATTCCCAAACCCATAAAAGAAACACAGCTGATGGAGCCAGAGGATTGTGAATACAAAAATACACCACTCAGTACCCCTTGTTCATGCAATGTCGATAATCATCTCCTCATCCCTTCCGTTTCCAGAGATCAACCTAAATCGGACATTTTCATTAATGGAATGAAGCTAACTACGCTCTGGGACACCGGGGCTACTTGTTCATATATAAGTCCTAGAGCGGCGACGAAGATAGGCGCAGAAAGGAGACAATATCAGGTGAGCGTACCCGTTCACATGTTCGACGGCTCGGTGAGTGTCGCTGGACCCATCACCGAGTTTGTCGAAGTCGGATTTAGTTTGACGAAGGACGCCGAAGTGCGATCTGTTTGTCTCGATGTAACAACGCTCTGCGACGCAGATGTTGTGATAGGGTGGGATTGGATGAGGAAGGAAGGGGTTGTCCTTGATGGAAGAGACAACTCGGTGAAATTTCCCATCCCAACCCCACCAAGTGCGGGGAAGTTAGCGGCCATAGGGCTGCCGACTCTGACGGACGCGATAGACCGCCGCGGCGAAGATGAGCTTGAAGAGCTGAGCCCGGAGGAACAAGACGAGTTGTTCCAGGTAGTTCCTGAACAATACCACCAGTACATTGACGTTTTTAATCCGAAGAAGGGAGGAGAGACCCTTCCCCCTTCAAGGTCCTACGATTTGAAGTTTGAGCTTAAGGAGGGGGCGAACCTTAAGGTCGCCTCCCTCTATGCTCAAGGAGAAGATCAGAGACGCGCGCTGAGAGACATACTAGATCGCGAAATCGCCGCTGGCCGAATTCGGGCAAGTAACTCGCCATACGGCTCACCAATGTTTATGATACCGAAGAAAGCCGAAGGACAGTGGCGAATGGTCATCGACTATCGAAAACTGAACGAAGCGACCATACCAGATGCCTACCCTCTCCCTCTAATAGGTCAAATTACCGAAGAACTTGGAAAAGCAAGGTATTTCAGCAAACTAGATCTAATTGGAGCATACCAATTGTTGAGGGTGACAGAGGGACATGAACACCTGACGGCGTTCAGGACACAGTATGGTATGTTTGAATCTCTGGTTGTTCGTGATGGGCTGCGAAACGCCCCCGCGGTCTTCCAACACTTCCTAAATGAGGTGTTTAGAGAGCTACTAGGGAATGGAGTCGTGGTCTACATTGACGATATCCTCATTTATGGGAATACGTTGGAGGACTTACGAGGAACTACGGCGAAGGTCTTTGAGGTACTGCGGAAGGCGAGCCTGTACGTGAAAGCTAGTAAGTGCGAGTTCGAAAGAGATTCGGTGGTGTTTCTGGGTTTCGTGGTATCCTCTAAAGGTGTATCGGTGAACCCAGAATACATTGATGCCATCACTTCCTTCCCACGTCCTAAGAATCTACGAGAGTCAAGGGGATTCATTGGAGTTGTAAGCTACTACAGGCGCTTTGTCCCCAACTTCTCGAAGATTGCTAGACCTATCAATGACTTGACAAGGAAGGAGGTACCATTTGTATGGGGAGTCGAACAGGAGTCAGCCTTCAAAGAGTTGAAGGCTAGGATGTGTACTGCGCCGGTGTTAGCCCATTTTGACCCTACATTGAAGACGATATTACAGACAGATGCGTCGTTCTTCGGCTGGGGGTTCATAATTTCGCAGATCAACACGGCTGGTCAAGAACACCCGGTAGCTATTGAGTCTGGTGCTTTCAACACAGCTCAACTGAATTATACGGTAGGAGAAAAGGAGTTCCTCGCTGTAGTGGAGGGTTTCAGAAGAAGGAGACACTTATTATTGCAGGTGGAAACCACAGTACTTACCGACCATCTAAACCTTACCTACTGGATGGAACCGAAACAACTCAGTCCTCGGCAAGGTAGGTGGGTAGAGGAGCTAGCTAACTTCAGGTTTAAAATGGTTTATCGGCCAGGAACCCAGGCAAGTCTTCCAGATGGATTATCTAGACGGGCGGACTATCATTCCGGGAAAGGAAGTACCATGGTACAAGAGAGCAACCTTATCCAAGGTCTGCCGAAGTTCGACGAAGTTGACGCCACCACGTCGGAGTTGCGTCACCTCCTTCGAGCATTGCAAGGGACAAGGGAGGTAAAGGAAAATGATCTTGTGGACCCTATGGATCTAGTACTTGGAGTTCAGGAGGACGAAGACATAGAAGGGGTCAGAGAAGAATTATTAGGAGTCGTTTGCGCTGAGTGTTCTCATCCTACGTGTAACGATAACGTGCAGGAACCAGGATCAATCACCGAACTACGCCGTAGTTCGCGGTCTCCTCTAATCCTTCGTGGGGGGTGGAACTCAAGAGGTTTCCTCACATTCGACGATCGCATTTATGTGCCGAACTACGCCGATGCTCGGCTGAAGATCATGAAGATGCGACATGACTCAGCCTTGGCCGGTCATCCAGGTTCGGCGAAGACTCTTGAACTAGTCCTGAGGGATTATGTCTGGGTTGGAGTAAGAAAGGATGTCGAAGATTATGTTGCTGGATGCGCGGTATGTCAGAGAGCGAAGACTAACAGACAGAAACCTCATGGGGAGCTTAAACCACTGGAGGTAGCTACGAAACCTTGGTCTAGCATCTCGATGGATTTTATCGAGGAGCTGCCAAATTCCCATGGATATAATTCCATCCTGGTAGTGGTGGATCGGTTGACCAAATGGGCCATTTTTATCCCTACTACGACGAAGTTAACCGCAGCCGGCCTATCAGAGTTGATATTGGACTATGTGGTGGCCCAGCATGGGTTGCCAGAGAATATAGTATCGGACAGGGGATCGAAGTTTACCTCCAAGTTCTGGAAGAATTTGACCGATAGTCTCGGAATAAGACTACATCTCTCTACTGCATATCATCCACAGACTGACGGACAGACCGAACGAACCAACCAGTCTTTGGAACTGTATCTTCGAATCTTCACCTCCTATCAGCAGAACGACTGGTCAAAGCTACTCGCTCGAGCTAGCTTTGCTTACAACAACACCCAGCACTCTGCGATAAACAAAACCCCATTCTATGCGAACTATGGATATCACCCTCGTTGGGCTGAAGAGATAAAGGCTAGCGAGGTCGAAGTGCCCGCTGCTACGGTGGTGGTAAAAGATTTGACTGAAATACACAAAGATTGTATCGAAGGAATTGAGAAAGCTAATGAGAAGTACGCCGAAGGATACAATAGGAAACACCGGACTACGCCGAACTTCGCGGAAGGAGACCTAGTGATGCTGTCGTTAGAGAATATTAAGACGAAGAGACCAATGAAGAAGTTAGATGTTAAGCAAAGTGGGCCGTACAAGGTAGTACGGCAGGTAGGTTCTCATGCTTGTAAATTGGAATTACCAGGAACGATGGCAGGTATCCATGATGTATTCCATGTCTCCTTGCTCCGTCCTTATCACCCTCCAATATTTCCTGGTCAGCAAGCTGAGCCACCTGGGCCAGTAGAAGTAGACAATGAGGGAGAGTCTTGGGAGGTGAAGGATATTGTGGACTCTAGAGTAAATAAGAGGTCAGGAAAGTTAGAGTACTTGGTGGAGTGGTTAGGTTACGAAGGAACAGACGATTCAGTATCATGGGAACCAGTGGAGAACGTCGATGGAGCTGATGACATATTGGCGAAGTTCCACGAACTTCACCCTACTAAGCCGAAAGAAGGGCGACTGCGAAGGGCTAGGAGATAGAACGTACTGCATACAACATAGGATTACAGCTACGTACCGCTCACTTGTCCTTACTCTTACCCTTACCTTTTCCTTTTCCTTTCTCCTTCGATCTACTCGGTCCCGCGGGATTAGTGTGGAGGCTACCGATGACCGAAGGTAGATCGAGAGTCTCAGACGGGAACGCAGTAGAGAGAGAAGCATTCCATGCCCGATTCATAGCCCCAAAGAAGTCACCGAAGTCCTGGACATCTCGAGCAGCTTGCATGCTCGGAGTCCTCCACAGAGAACGTATGGTCCGTAGACACTCGAAGGGAAGACTGAGGAGGTCTAGAGCAGTCTGGGCGGAAGCTGGGACACGGGAACTACTACGGCGACCTAACCAGTCAAGGGACGGTGGTGGCTCATACGCCATAGGAGTGACTAGGAAGGGGGTGTCGAACAGTCTTCGGCGAACATCGGCTATCTCAGTAAGGCTTCGGCGAGAGACGTCCGCTAACCTTGTCCTTGCTTCGTCGTCCAGAGCCCCAGTGTTGACTACATCTACTAACGCCGCAGTAAGATTGTTTAAAGCGTTAGCTTGACGAGAAGAGAAGTCAAGCAGGAGAGATGTATCATTTCGGGCAGCCTCAAGCTGAGTAGTGAGACCGAGGACGAGAGAACGATAAGTGGCGAATTCCTTTTCGTCCTCAGGAATACGGACGTCCAGGGAGATACGAGGGTGGACGAGGGACAACCGGGGAGCAGAGGGACCAGCACGCTGAGTATCTTCACCTTCCACATCACCATCATTGAAGGCAACCTCCTTCTCTTTAGATTTCCCTTTTGATTTCTTTAAAGAAGACTTCGGTGTCTTCTGGGGAGCAGAGGGAGGGGTGACGGGAGGGGCCGCCGAAGTGGCCGGAGGAACAGAAGGACGCCGACTTCGGGTGCTGTGAGCCGGGGGAGAAGCTACCACTGGAGAGGACGGACGTGGCGCCGAAGGACGAGAGGCCGAAGAACGAGAGGCCGAAGGACGGGAGACCGAAGGAGCAGAGGCCGAAGGACGGCGAGAAGACGAAGGAGGAACAGCCGGGAGACGTGATGGGCCGGCCACAGGAGCGAAGGGCGACGGCGACGGAGGCGACGGGCGGAGGTCCGGCGAAGTACGGCGAACCGACCGGAGAGACGAAGGAGGTACCCGCGAGCGGGGGACAGACGCTGGAGTCTGAGGAGGGGGGAAGGGCGAAGAGTCGGAGGGACGGGGCGGGATGTCCCGGGCAGAGGAAACGGGACAGAAGGAGCAGGGGCCAGACGTGCACGAAGCACAACGGAGGGCCTTGTTGTGTGGCCTGACTGCCTTGAGGCAGGGCCAGTTTGGACGATTATACGTGATAATCTCACGTCTACTAATTAGCAGGAGTAACTTCGGCGTAGTACGAATAGGTGGACTCACCGGCAACGATCACACGCTTCGTCAACACCAACTGCGATCCAACGACCAGGCTCGGACTTCATCTTCTCCCACAAGGCTCCCCTCTGGGAGAAGGGGGGGGAGCAGCGACGGGGGCGGCGGGAGCAGGACCGGCGGCGGGAGCAGGACCGGCGGCGGCGGCAGCGGCGATGGCGTTGGGGGGGGGGATGGCGTTGGGGGGGGGGAGAACCCCGGAAGAGGAAGAAGAAGAGGAAGAAGAAGAAGAGGAAGAAGAAGAAGAGGAGAGGGAACGGCGTCGTTTCTGGCCCACAATTTGAGCAGGGGGAGGGGCAGGAGCGGCTGCGAGTTAGCAATGTCTTGGAGAGCTAAAGAACAGATAAACAAGGCCAAGTTCGGCGAAGGTGTGAGAGGTTGGACGAAGAACTCACGCTCAGGACTATCTACGTTGTTGTCCTCTACACTAACCGCCACCATATCATCATCCGAGTGTTCCTCTAACTCGGTTTCACCCTCCGACACGATTCTATCATCCTCATCACTATAATCACCCCCTTTTCCTTCGAAGTCTGACTGATCGTCCGACTCCGAACCACTGAGCGACTCCTGGTCGGAGGAGGACGGAGACTCACCAGGACGAAAGGCGGGCGTCCTGCGGCGAGGGCTGGCGGCAGGAGGGGAAGCAGAGCGAGAACCAGGAGGAGGAGAAGCAGAGGGAGAACCAGCGGGAGGACCGGCGGGAGGAGAAGCGGAGCGAGGAGGCGGGACATCGCCAGACGGCTCCCCCAAAGAAAGGGTGCCGAGGCCGAGGGAGGAGACTTGGCGAGATCTGTCGCCGAAGGAAACTGAACATCAGCCAAGTCCGGCGAAGTAAGGTAAGTGTCGAGGAATAACTCACGAGCAGACGACACCATACCACCAAAGTTCCTCATGGCGGCGAAAGGGTTAGATGTAGGAGTAGAAGGGGCCATGACGTTAAGATATTTAAATGAGAATAAAACTCGAGGCGATGATTCAAGGTAACAAATCTGTTTTCTAGGTAAGAGAGATAGAAAGTTTTGAAAGCAGATGGGAAAAAGAGAGAAGGTCGACGAACTGCTCAGTATTTAGTATAATCAAACCTAACCCCTCGTCGTCAACATGCAGCAAACTTCGCGTTTCATCAACAAAAGGCATCGCAGGGACGATCAAAATTCCCACGCTATAGTGTCTCATCTCAATATAAGCGAGGGTTACTTCGACAAACAACGGTGTTGTTCGGCTGCCATTCAGGAAGCGTGTCTCACCTACAAAAGACACAGGGCTTCTTACGGCAAACCTCGACGAAGTTAGGGGAGTCTCATTGTCGGGTTCTGGAGTGAAAGGAGGCCCAACTACGAAGTGCGGCGCAAAGAGCAGAAGAGTGGAGGATGGTCATGGGGAGGGAGAGAATGGGGTACAACGCTGCTAAGTTCTCTTGCCACGACAGAGGTGTAATCGCTCACGAGGACGTTCGCGGCTAAAGAAGGGGGCGACTGTCACGAACTACGTCGTGACACCTCGATTACTTCACCAACAATGACCCTCCTTTGGCCATCAAAACCCCATCACGCCTTAACCTCTTTACTCTACACGTAACTCAGGACTTCTGAGACCAAGTACGGCGAAGTTAGACGGGGTTAGGCTAAGTAGGGACAATGGGAGCAGAAGTGCGGCGATGTTAGGCGGAGTTAGGCTAAGTAGGGACAATGGGAGCAGAAGTGCGGCGATGTTAGGCGGAGTTAGTCGAAGGAGGAAGAGGATGGCCGAGGGCTCGGGGAAGTTGGACGAAGTGCGTTGAAGTACGTCAAAGCGCGAGAGGGTTGGATGAACGTCTAGGAGGAGTAGATAATATTAGCTGAGAAGATCGCTGAAGTTCTTCAGCGATCCTTGATTGTTGTCAGTAGTAAAAGACAGATAGAGATAGCTATAAATCAAGATACATCGCCATCAGTAGATCAAAACCCTAGTTAGAGTAACTACGCCGAAGTACGCCGTAGTTACACCCCTTTCGACGTCTGCGCCCTCCTGGTTGGGTGAGACATCGACTCAGAGAGTGAAGTTAGCCGAGGTTCGTCGACCGTCGGTCTATTAAGAAGTAGTTGTTCGACGGCCGTGACATTCCCGTACCGGTAGTACCGAATACGAATACAACTACAGTCACTCCTACAACACTTCCTGATCCCCTTCCTGGTCCACTCCCTGCACCTGTCCCTACGACACCAGTACGATCTCAATCACCTGTGTCCGTACACGATTCCGTACACGAATCTACTCCAGTCGTAGAGAATCCTTCGAATACGATCCCTGCGGAATCGCCTGCTACAACTGCAGAAGATACACCTGCTGAAGAACCTACAACTACTCCTACGGTTGAACAGCCTGCACCAATCGCACGGGTCGTACCGCAACCCACTCGTACGAGCGAACGAATTAGAGATTGTATGAACGTACAAGGTACACTCTCTGCAGTGACCTGGTTCCCTGTTCAGGCTTCGTACTATGGTCTGGCCAGTGAAGTCGCAATGATACTCGCAATCGAAGGAAGTGATGTCGTACCGCAGACTGCGGGGGAGGCTCTTCGTAGTCCGCGAAGTACAGATTGGAAGATCGCAATGACTTGCGAACTTAACAATATCAAGTCGAAGGATACATGGAAGGAGACTACACTTCCGCAAGGTCGTAAAGCTATTGATTCAAGATGGGTCTTTGCAATAAAGAAGGATGCAGATGGGAAGATCCTCAAGTACAAAGCTCGACTCGTAGCGAAGGGATTTTCGCAACAACCTGGTATAGATTACGAAGCGACATACGCACCCGTAAGTTGTATGGTCAGTCTACGAATCGTACTTACGATCGCTGCATCGTACAATCTCGTAACACATCAAGCAGATGTCGAAGGAGCTTATCTCAATGGTGTACTTGAAGAAGAAATCTACATGAGATACCCAGAAGGTATGGCTCGAGCTCCTGGTTGTAACACCTTACGATTGTACAAGTCACTGTACGGTCTCAAGCAGTCTGCACGAGTTTGGTGGATCGAACTCGGTAATGCGCTCGCAACGTACGGATTCGTACGACTTGAATCAGATTGGGGAATGTACTACAAGGCATCTAAAGGTTTAGATGGTCCTATTATCGTACTCGCATATGTGGACGACCTCGTAATCGCAGCTCGAACTCGAGATGTGATCGTACGACTCATGCGATTCCTCAAGTCAAAGTGGACAATGACAGAAATGGGGGAGATGAAGCAGATACTAGGGCTCAAGGTAGTTCGTGATCGTACGAACCGTACGATTCACCTATCGCAACCAGCGTACATCGAACGTGCAGCTGCGGAGAACTCGGTCGCGGTTCGAGCCTACGGTACTCCCCTCCCACAACATGTAGAGGATCTCTACACGACTTCGACACCGCTCGAAGCTACGACTCCATATCTCAAGATCATTGGATCATTGATGTGGATTGCAAGTTCGACACGGCCTGATGTATGCTTTGCGACACGATATCTCGCTCAATTCTCAGCCAAGCCAACTGAAACGCATCTTGCACTTGCGAAAAGCGTAATGTCGTATCTCGTACATACGAAAGACTACGTTCTCAAGCTTGGAGGAGAACCATATCAACTCGAAGGATGGGTCGATGCGGATTTCGCTGGTTGTACGGAAACACGAAAGTCTACGACTGGCTATCTATTCAAGTTCTGTAGTAGTTCGATTCAATGGCAATCTCGAAGACAAGCTACGATCGCGCAGTCTACGATGGATGCGGAGTATATCGCAACCGCAGAAGCTGCTCGTGAAGCCGTATGGATACGAAGCCTATTGACTGAACTCGGTTTCAAGCAAGTTACAACACGACTTAATTGCGATAATCAAAGTGCGATACGACTCGCACACAATCCTGGTATGCATGCTCGATCGAAGCATATAGACATACGACATCATTACATTCGTGAGAAGATATACAATGGTGAATTGAAACTCGAATACGTACGATCCGAATTGCAAGACTCGGATTTCCTTACGAAGATCCTACCAAGAGAACCACACGAAAAGAACTGTCTTCGAGTTCGACTCGTACACGGTTCGATATCACACTCTGTATCTCTCCTCACCTCCCACACTCATCTTGTCGATTCGGATCACGATCCACACGATTCGAAATCGACATCTCTCGAATCGTACGACGCGTAGAGCGTCGTACCGAACACTTCGTACTGTGCACACGAGATTTCCTGGTTTGCTCGTGATTCATGCCTTTTCATCCCGTACGTCCAGGTCTGCGATACGGATCCCATTGGTTTACGATACGATCTCATTAGTTGGTTTAGAACATGTTAGTTTGTTGGAGTTAGTGTCATTAGGGGGAGTGTTGATAAGTAATGCCACGCAACTACGACTCGAAACTGTTTATAGATATGATACCATCCGTAGTCTTCGATGCAATTCTTACTATCATCGTAATCGTACTCGTTGTACACATTCAAACAAAATTGCCACGTCATCCTTTTTTGTTCCAGTTCCCGGTCTAAACGGGATGGAAATGCAAGATAAACGTATATTCTAGGAGATATTATACACCTTCTGAAGCCCTATACATCCACCAGACCTTGATGAACTCCCACAGCTCCGCCTTGTTTGACTGTCTTGGGACCACTTCGCCAAGCGTCCGCCTCTTCTTCGACTAACGGATGGGCATCCTGGGCGCCATCTCTCTCATCTTCATCATCAATGCTAAATCTCCCTGCCAGCCCTTCGGTCTCATCGTGATCCTCAGCATGGAGGCTAGTGTATTGCCCATGACGTCGCCAAGAGCCCCAGGATGGCCCTGGATCGGCTTCTTTGCGTTGAAAGGGGAGACGAATGTGGGGCAAGGAGGGCAAAGAGGGGATAGGGAATTGGTCTAGACCGCGACGTTTGAGATATAGACGATTATATAATGTGTGACCCAAGAACCAAGTCATGATAGCGATTAACAGTCTGTCCGTCAGCTCTCCTCTGGGCGGCAATATGAGGGGCAACGAGACTTTCTACAAGGAAGTATTGTGACGAAATGCGACAAAGATTTTCCAAACTGTATGTGGGTACGGTGAGGTCTTGCCGTGTGAATAGGCAGGTCGGATGAGAAGGGAAGATTGATGAACAGGAGAGTGAGAAATGAGGAAATTGCGACTCACATCGAACCGAAGACTATATATTGACCCCTATTCATCTGAGCCCTCGGATTGGTGGGACATGCGACATGACTTCTCCACTCGAAGAAAAAATGACAACCTTCTTCTGCGTTGGGAGGTAGAGACGCTATGAGACTGGGAGTACCTGCGTTGAAGTCGGATGGGCTGCAGATGAACTGAGAGTCAGCGTGTCCTGGCGTTACCATCGTCTAAATCGCAATCGGGTCTGACTTCGGGATGTGGGACAGTGTAAAGTGTTCAAAGCCAGGATCAGAGAATGACTCACACGTATAGCTGTCGAAGCTAATTCTGAGGGATTATGGGGACAGGGTGATCCGTCTTGTAACAAAAGCAGAGGTTCTGAAGTCGAAGGAGAAGGGATCAGAGTGGTGTTTGTCGTCCTATAACATCAGCTCAGTGGACCCACATCTCTCGCGAGAGTTCAATTGGGTAGAATAGCGTGAGAAGGCAGTACTTACCCGAGCGAGAAATCCCCATCGAGCCGATGTATAAACCCTCCAACTCGGTCTGGATTCTCAAGCTTCCACAATTCGCTCACGACTCCTCGACAGACATTCAGTCTATAGCTCCTCCCCTCGACATTTGCTTCGTAATCGTTACTCGCTGACGACAGAGAGGAGAGGTCGTAATGAGTGCCGTCGGGTAGAGTGAGGGTACAGGGTGGGAAATTCGACATGCTGTGTTCTCCTCCCTCCTTCGATAGCCTTTGTCCAGTGACGTTCTTCTTCGAAGGTATGACGATTATACGAGTAAGGCCGAGACTTTGGAGTGTTAAAGAGGTGATTTGTCTGCTCGTGAAGGAGGAGAAAAGAGAAGTGAAATGTCAAAGTGAATGAATATGCGTCGTTCGTTTCGATGACACTTTCTTCTTTCTCTCTCTTTTTTCAAGTACATCATCACACTTCTCCTCTACATCTCTACCGTTCATTCTTGACGTCAACATACCCTCCATGATCAATGTCAACAGAACCTTTCGACCCCTTCGCACGCCGTCGTCATCTTCACCATCGTTATTCGAAGGCGTCTCCGAGATCTTCCGAGCTAAATGACATAACTTTCTTGCGATTATTCCCACTCCACAACATAAATCCAACCAATTGGACGTCCGATAGGCAGTGCAAAACTCTCTCATATCGTCCTTGGGCCTCAAGCCTAGCACACTTCCATCTAGGGCTTTCCCTCCACACTTCGTTCCGATTCTTTCTCTCGTCACCGCCCGCCTCTCGGATATTCCCATGGGGCCGAGGGCCCTTCTCCGAATGTAGATGTAAGGATGTCGAGATATGTCATCATGCCAGCTTTCCTTGCACTGCTTTTGTCATGAGACATGACTTGTTTGCCTGCTTTGTCCTCTCATCCAATGTCCTTGTATCGGTCGATGCACCCCTAAATGACCCGATGGCGGTGCAAGAGATGACGATCTTCTTGCATCTCCTTCGAAGCAAAGACACTTATGCCGGTGATTGGGCCTCGGGCTGCAGTATATAAAGTGCGCGTCCCCGACCTCTATCTCCCACCGCGTTCACTATAACACTACTTATTACATACCGAATACATATTGATCATCTGAGGAACAATATCTCGCATTTGTCGATCACATGAACGACTCAAAGTCACCGGCAGAAGCCGAATCGATGCTTAAAACACTTCCGTGGAACATTGATGATCCCAACGACCCCCTATTTTACAAGCCAACCACTATCCAGATCACAAGGCAGTACTTATCTTCAACACCACTTCCCGCGGACTCGAGCGATGGAGGCCGGGCCTTTGCAAATCAGGAAGCGGTATTGGGGTCAACTAGTGAAGTAAACAAAATAGTGATCAGCAGAGGCACAATGGAGAGGCACCAAAAATCTGTTACAACGACAGTCAGGAAGCAAATAAGAACACCATATGATGAGCAGCATCTCATCGATGAGACCACAGTGCTTGACATCCAATGGCACAATTCAGACGTACCTGTGACTCACCCCAGCACCGAAATGCGAAGTCGGATGTGGAAGATGGCAGACCACTTGGAACGGAATCTCACAATAGACCTTCCTGCAGTTGCAGCTATATTCAGACCTGATGAGACAGCATTACATCAGCTCTGGATAGCAGCACATGACACCTTTAAGCAGCTGCAGCGCGAATCCTTTTCAGGTCTTGATAGTAAGTTTGAAGAGACCCAAACAGGCAAAATTCATGCACAGGTGTCAGAATGCAAGCGTCTCACCGATCAAGACTTGCGTAAACCCAATGAAGTTCCAGGAGAAATTAGCTATGACCTTCATACCAATACTACAACCAGGGTTTTTGACTCTGATCACTTGACTTACACATCTGTGTATAGATGGTCTTCTCGCCTCAACATCACTATTACAAATAGCAGAGGCGTGAACATATATGAGGAAGAGCTCTCCCCTTGCCCTGGTGAAACTTTGGCAAAGTTCATAGGATTTCCACATAATACGGTGGCATATACAACACCTAACTTTAGAGTGAAGACTAGAAGAGATTGGAACCACCACCCCACCATCATGATGCATGTGAAAAATTCAGAGGGTGCACTCCTGTATCTAGGACATTTTACAGAGAGACAGCGGTCAAGGGAAGAGTTTGTAGATGGACCTCACAAGCTCACTTGGCAGTTTGGGCTTGTGACCCGTAACATGATACTGGATGAAACATACCAGCCACCTGAGGATGGGGAGCCAGAAGTCTACAAGTTGTGCTGGAATCCGTCGCAAGGAATGGACGGTCCAAGTGAAATCCTTTACTTTTACAACATTACAAACTGAGCTGTACCTGAAGTATCAAGGACTAACAGCCCACTGACACACTTTGATTGGCTTATCTACGGTACTGTTACGGGGTAACAATCATTGAAGTGAAGGTAATGAAATTAAATGGAAGAGGATGCACCCAGAGGAAGGGGGGATTAGGTAGGGACGGGTTTTCTGTCACGAAGTGACAAGTCAGTTTGGTTAATGATAAGTCAGTTTGGTTAGAGTTGTCTCCGGGTTGGGTATTTAACCAGCGACCGGCGGTATGCAGTAACCGCCGGTTAATAGGCCTTTTAGCACAGTGGTTTAGACCGCTGCCTCTGAAGGGCACTGTTATATCGTCCCAATGCTGGTTAGTTGGTCTCGTGACAGATTAACCGGCGGTTACGGGTAGGGTCCTGGGTTCGACTCCCAGACAGAGCTGGGGTAACCCAGACCTACTTGGAAAACCTCCCTCTCGGAGAAAGTTTTCGGCCTATCGTGCCCTTCCCCCGTGGGGCCCCGAGACGGGGCTGAAAGGGAAGGCATAATGTCACGAAGTGACAAGTCAGTTTGGTTAATGATAAGTCAGTTTGGTTAGAGTTGTCTCCGGGTTGGGTATTTAACCAGCGACCGGCGGTATGCAGTAACCGCCGGTTAATAGGCCTTTTAGCACAGTGGTTTAGACCGCTGCCTCTGAAGGGCACTGTTATATCGTCCCAATGCTGGTTAGTTGGTCTCGTGACATTTTCCTCCTTTGAGATTTTCCCTTGGGTTTGCTCAAAGAGGCTTTTCATCCATCCAAGTATGTAGATAGACACTTGCCACAGGGGAAGAACAGGGTACACCTACCAAGTGACAGTATATACATTCTAACAATGCACAGAGATAGTTTTTACATCATGATGTGGCATCATCAGGAAGAACTGTTACAATCCAGTTGTAGCAATACAATAGGCAGATAATGGTGGTATATAGATGTCCAAGACCAACTAACCAGCATTAGGACAATATGACAGTGTCACAAACCATTGTGACATCCCCTCACCACAACTACACCATGCCTGTCACAGACTACGTCGTGACACCTTGATTATTCCACCAACAATGACCCTCCTTTGTGTCACGGGACCAACTAACCAGCATTGGGACAATATAACAGTGCCCTTCAGAGACTGTGGTCTAAACCTGATTTGGGAGGAGGCTGCTGTGCACAAGGCATCAAGCCCAGTGCTAAAACAAGCCTACTATAAGAACTATAGCATGAATGGCTTGCACAGACTCATGTTCAAGGGGAACCGGAGTGCCCGGAGAAAACCCCTTGGTCGGACTGCGCTAACAGGCCTATTAACCGGCGGTTACTGCAAACCGTCGGTTGCTGGTTAAATACCCAATCCATCCAACTCTAACCAAACTGTCTTGTCACTTCGTGACATTTTGACCATCAAAACCCCTATCACCTCTTAACCTCTTTACTCTACACGTAACTCAGGACATCTGAGACCAACTACGGCGAAGTACAACCGGAGAATAAGGTATACGGGGGCCTGGAGCACAAGGACAACAAAGTACGGCGAAGTTAGACAGAGTTAGGCTGAGTAGGGACAAAGGGAGCAGAAGTATGGCAAAGTTAGACGGGGTTAGGCTAAGTAGGGATAAAGGGAGCAGAAGTACGGCAAAGTTAAACGGAGTTAGGCTAAGTAGGGACAATGGAAGCAGAAGTACGGCAAAGTTAGACGGAGTTAGGCTAAGTAGGGACAATGGAGGCAGAAGTACGGCAAAGTTAGACAGAGTTAGGATAAGCAGGGACAAGGGGAATAGAAGTGCGGCGATGTTAGGCGGAGTTACTCAATGGTGGAGGAGGATGGCCGGGGACTCGGGGAAGTTGGACGAAGTGCGTTGAAGTACGTCAAAGCGCGAGAGGGTTGGGTGAACGTCTAAGAGGAAAAGATAATATTAGCTGAGAAGATCGCTGAAGTTCTTCAGCGATCCTTGATTGTTGTCAATAGTGAAAGATAGATAGAGATAGCTATATACAAATGGAGATACATCCCCATCAACAGAAACAAACCCCAGTTAGAGAAACTACGCCGAAGTACGCCGTAGTTACACTCCTTTCGACGTCTGCGCCCTCCTGGTTGGGTGAGACATTGACTTTGAAGCGTCAAGTCAGCCGAGGTTCGTTGACCGTCGGTCTGTTAGAAAGTAATTGTTTGACAGGCGTGACAATGAACCCTCACAATCAAGAAACAACAGAATCATCAATGATTGATAATTAGCCGACAATTCCTTAATTAGCCTTCAATTACAGGTACCTCAATTAGTGATCAATCACGGATACCTTGATTAGCAATCAATTGCGGGTATCTTAATTAGCGATCACGCCACTGACGTCATAGGAGAGTACGTACGTCTGTCAACGATAGTACGACTCCCTCATTTACCAAATAACTGGTTCGCCGGATCAATCACTGGATCAATCACCGAGCCCACAACCGGGTCAACCACAGGATCAACCGGTCAACCGGTTGTCAGGATAGCCTTGCGAAAACATGTGTTTGAATATGGTAAACACGCTACTTGTCACGGTCCGGTCCTTGACAGACCTCAATGGATCCAAGTGTCACAATCATCGTTTCTTCTCTTCCAATGACCGACGGTCGACAAACCTCGGCTAACTACGTTGTAGTGGGGCATCGATGTCTCACTAGGACAGGGTACTCGTCGGGGAACTACGGCTAACTTCGCCGTGGTAATACGTCGAGTGGTAAGTGATAAGGTGATCGTCGATGAACTGCGGCTAACTTCGCCGTAGTACGTCGAACTGCTCGGTGGTAGCTCTCCTTAACTCGATGGTTGTAGCTACTGAATATATTGCTCGCTACTGACAACAATCAAGGATCGCTGAAGAAGTTCAGCGATCTGTAAACTATCTATACTTCTCCTCTCTTCTCATAGAACATCCCTCAACTCCTGCACAGCCTCGCGCTCAGTCCTCTTTGCTCAACTTCGTCGTACCTCGCCATATCCCCAATATCCTACTCCGCTCACTTTGACTAACTTCGCCTACTTCCCCTGTTCTGCTCTCCCTCGGTTTCCTTCCCCTAACTTCGCCGTAGTTCTCCGCTAGGCGGGGTTATCGTGACAAATCCCCCCTTGGTTCTCGTAACTTCGCCGTAGTTGGTCTCAGTGGTTCGAGTGGAGGTTGGTGATGGTGAAAGGAGGGTCGGTGATGGTGGTTGTCAGGGATGTTACGACATAGTTCGTGACAGTCGCCCCCTCCTTAGGCGTGAACGTCCTCGTGAGCTTCGTATGCATGTACTGAAGAAAAAAAGACACTCAGCAGGTTCACAATTTGTCATATAACAGTTGTTGGTAGATGATACCATGGTTCGTTGTTAATCGGACAGTAAACTTCGTCGAAGTTCATCGTGGATGCTTGTTGTTACCCTGTGGTAGTTACGTTGTAGGTGAGACAGAGGATTTGGGATACAACAAACCTCGTCGAAGTTCGTCAGCGTATCCCTAACTTATATGAATGTGAGACACGTAGCGTGGGAATTTTGATCGTCGCCATGGTGTTTGTTGTCGCTGAGACACCTTGTTATGCGAAGTTACCAGCGCCCTGACGACGAGTAGTCGCGTTAGTTATACTAAATACTCAGTACTTCGGCCCACTTCTTCTTCTTCCCCAGTACTATTCCTAAATCGTACTATCATCCTCTATCAATTTCCAGCCTTTACCTTACCAAACATACAGTGGGGTGCGGGAAATGATGGCACAAAATTGTACCTTGATCGCGTTCATCAGTTTCATGTCGCGTCTTCATGTTTACCCAGATCTTCGCATGCAGGGATCATGTAGCGCTTCTTTTTGCATTTGGACATCTTCTCCAGTGTCCAAAGATGCCTGGCAAGTGTTTTTCACCCGTTTCACGCGCTCGAATAGCGGAAAAAGCAAGGACAATAACCTATCGCCAGGTCGCCATTGAACATGGTTGTTCTCCTAGTACCGTCGGACGTCTTACCCGCCAGCTCAGTCAAAAAGGTCACACTGCCCCCTCTCCTCGACCTGGACGTCCCTCACGCTTCACCCCTCGCATGGTTCGCCGCATCGAAGTCGTTATCAAACAAAATCGGAAGAAAACATTGAAAGAGTTGATTGCTGTCTTGAAGGATGATGGGATTGACATCTCTCTCACCACTTTACGTGCTACATTGAAACGTCTAGGCTTCAAACGCCGCATTGCTCGCAAGAAACCCTTTCTCACTAAGCGTCATAAACGTCTCCGACTTGCCTACGCAAAGAAACATGCGAAAGATAGTATCAATGATTGGAGAAGAACAATTTTTGTGGATGAGATGTGTCTCAAGCTTAATTGGACGACAAAATCGTATGTGACGCGCAGGGAGGGAGAAGCGTACTTGGAAGAGTGTCTGCAGCCTAAATTTATGGGTGGATGGAGTTCCTGCATGATCTGGGCAGCAATTTGGTACGGAGGACGGTCAGAATTGGTGATGTTTGACACAACTGATAGTAAGGGAGCTAGGGGAGGAATAACGGCTAGAATCTATCGAGAGCAGATCACGGAGGGACCCCTTAAAGCGGCTTGGACGCATCTCAACAACAAATGGAGGGCTTACGGTGGTGCTAGGATTGTTGAGGACAACGTTCCACTTCATACTTGTGACGAAAATCGACTTCAAGGGAAGAAACAGCGATTTCTCTATCTTGATCACCCCCCTTCTTCCCCGGACCTGAACCCAATCGAAAACTGTTGGTTGTACCTCCGCCAACGGATCTGGAAGCTTCCTAAGCGTCCTACAAACAAGATTGAATTGTTCAAAGTTGTGCAGACAGAGTGGAAGGAGATACCACAGGCAGTAATCGACAAGACTATAGACAGTATGATAAAGAGATTGGAAGGAGTTAGGAAAGTTGAGGGTGGTGTGACCAAATATTGATCCGGTTGGTCTCTCTCTTGGTGTATGAGCAGAACTGACCCTTGTCCAGAGTCTCACTAATTCTTAGATCA